GTGTTAATGTCTAACTTCAACAGGGTCTGTTGTGAGATAGTAACTCACTGAAGGCTATGGTGAACGGTGGCTCAATTTCGTGGATTGGTTCATATTAGACATTAACACCGTTAGATACCTCCCAGCTCAGTGATCTAGAGGTTCAGCGATTGCGCGCTAGATCGATAGGTCCTGAATTCGAAACTCACGGGTCGGAAACGTGGATGCGCACTGCTGAAGAGTCACACACTAGGAATAAACGGCCATCCAGTGCTCCTAGGTTCTCAGTGGTGGTCTAGCTACCATTGATTCATGAATTCAACTATAAAATTACTAAAATCCCCACAAAACCCCCTTCTGATAAATTTTGGATAGTTTTAATGATTGAACGATATTTATCAGCATTGTTTGTTATCTTTCGAACAGATTACATATTTATGTCTGAAAGTAACTGATTATATAAATAAATCGAAAGATAAAAATGAAACAAAGATAATATGATGAACGATGTAAAATTGCACCATTCTGGATAATAAATTAATATTACCACATTGGGTCTTAGTGTAAGTATAAATTATGAGCAAAGATAGATGATGGCTAGTAGTGGAATCCAGGACACGCGTTTTGTCTTATCTGGGATTCGTCAGCTGAATGTGCCTGCATCTCAGAGTTGATGTTCACATCAATGAGAAAATTTAAACAAATAATACAAAATAAATTTAAACTTCATCCCGTTACATAAGCTAGTGGTTATCAGGATTCAGTAGCGAACAGTACTGGGTTCGAGTCTCAGAGTGAACATCAACTCTGAGATGCAGGTGCATTCAGCTGACGAATCTCAAATAGAACGAAATACGTGTCCTGAATCGCGCTGCTAGCCACTATCCATTTTGCTTAGAATGTTTGCTAACTAAAGCATTATCCACACAGGATGTACATATCCCAATAATAGACTGATCGATTGCAGTCCTAAATATCAATTGGAAGATTCGAATAAACAATACAAAATAATCATAGATGAAAGCATGAGTCAATTGAAGCTAGACCACCGAGGAAAACCTGTAAACACTGGACGGCCGTTTCGTCCTATTATGGGTCTCCTCAGCAGTGCGCATCCACGAACCCGCTCTCGCGAGCGAGATTCGAACCCAGGACCTACCAGTCTCGAGCAGAAGCCCTAAATAAATTGTTTTTGAAAATACAAGCCTTAATACAAGCAAATGTCTGATCAGATTGTGTTTGAAACTTATTGTACCACTATGTATTAAGTAGTTTTGGTAATCTTCGTTTTCTCTTAATTGGACTATTAAAATTAAAATTGTCTGAAAACTTTTGAAATTACTAGCATTGACTTCTAATGGGAAGCCATAATCTGTAGAGTGAACAAAGATATTGATATAGTATAGTATATTATGCTAAAAGATGCTAACATTATGTAATATATTAATAGATGATACTAAATATTGAATAGATTAACATAAATAAGCTTAAGATTCAAGAATGATGATTGAAATCAAAGAAAGGACTGTATCAAAAGAGGATTTGAACTGGTTACATTCTGAATACTGATTCAACGACTTACTAAATATTAATTAGTACATATTTTCATTAGATTAGTAAATTATTGCCAAACTATGATGTGGACGGGCGTTAGTTCTTTATAATTATTTACATAGCAGGTTAACATTATGTAGATTCAAGGTAAAATCTAACAACTGTTTAGTTACCAGCTTTAAGACAGTTTTAGACAATACACAGTCGTATACAATTAGATTGAGTTTCCACGATCACTAACTCAATCAAAAATGACATTGTCACATCCTAAAGGTCATTGAAATGAATAATCGTTATCTTTTGTACATTAGGAATTTTGACATCTTTCTAGTATAGTAGCAAAAACGAGACATTTACAAAGAAATTAAAGGTGTTTTTTATAGAAATATTTCCTGAAAATAGGACTCTTTTGAGAGTTACTGAAGATCAAATAATTTAAGGAAGTTATCTATGATATAAACTACTCCTGTGGCTCTTCTAGAGTTACTGCCAATCCCAAGTCCGGGTAAAGGAGGAGGGCTAGGCATGGGGTTAGCGGCCCTAACTCGCTAAGAAAACGCTAACCAGAGAAAAAAATCTATAATACAATTAATCTCAAATAAAGATGTTATTCATGAATATAAGATCAAAATTCATGAGATAGATCATGTATTGTACGAAGTTTCAATTATATGGTAATAAGTTAACCACAGTTTAGTAATATAGACTTCCGAAATAAACTTCAATTTAAATTCATTTAGTATTGTTTGTTTGAATCTTCCGATCGATTCAAAGAAACAATACTAAATGAATTGAAACTTCACCCCATCGCACAAGCAAGTGGCTATCAGGACTCAGTGGCCGAGTGGATAACGAAAGGTACTGAGTTCGAGTCCCAGAGTGAACATCAAATCTGAGATGCAGGTACATCCAGTTGACGAGTCCCAAATAGGATGAGACGCGCGCCCTGGATTCTACTGCTGGCCACTATCCATCTTTGCTTACAAGATTTCAATTTACTTTCAAATTTCATGTAGACAAAGAACAGACTGTAGAACTATCATTATTATTATTATCGATTCATTAACTCATCAAAAAGACATGATTCAACCATATTTTGAACAACTACAGTAAACTAAATGAGGATAAGAGACCCTAGTGACCTTTTTAATTTATCCATATTGGTGACCAGATAATCACGCTCTAATATGTATATGCACTAGTGAATCCTCATAAACATATCATTGGAACAAAAGGTTCTGTTGGAATATCAAGTTACAAGATCAATATTATTGAATATGTATATTGATATATTTTGTGAGGTGAATATGAAATAACTACCTGATTAAATCATGTGAACTTTCTGCTTCCAAAAGCTACTTTTTTTCTGCAACTAATTTAATCATTAAGTAACAGTCCATGACAATTCAGTTGGTATTCTATCATTTTATGAAAATTCATAGAGCAATTTTATTTTCCACACTGAATGATGACTTATTCCCTACTTACAGCTCTTAGTGACAGTAGCCAGGTTAGAAAATAAGATAAAGACAGGTAAATGATCAAGTGATAGCATCATTTCATGAATTCAACTACACCATAATACATACTTTTATTAGAAAGAGGCAGAAACAGGAAAAATCCTAAATTTCAGTAGTTATCCTTCAGTGAGTTAATTTTTGTAGTTTTTTGTTAGTGTATATATATCAAATGTTTTTCATATTGTATTTCTTTCCATAGTAGATCTAATCAGAAGTTCTCTTTTGACCTGTAATGTGTCTCTCTAAGTAAAAATGATAACCAATTAATAACAACAGGGTATCAGTTGCTGCCAAAATAACTCAGTAGTAACATTTCATACTGTGAAACTGAGTGAAGTGAGTTAGAATCATACAGGAAACAATAATACCCACAAAATTACAAATATTTCTGGATGTCGAGTAACGAAACTTAAATTAAGAGTTTATTATAAACTACCTTCAACCATCTAACTTCTCAGTTTAGCACTTACAATGTTTAGTCATTTAAGCTAGGGTCTATTTTGGAACTTGTTCCAAAGAATTTGATCAGTATTAAGGCCTAGTCAAACATTATGCTGTTCACTACTCAATCATCAATTACTTGTAAACGATTAGATTGCTCAAATTTGTACCGAAAATAATGATGTTATGCTTTGTTACTCTAATTGTGTAATCAAGTGAATGATGACTAAGAATCATTTAAGTACATATGATTATTTATTTGGTAGTTTGTTATGGAATTTGAGTATTTTTAAGAGAATGGGAGTTTCACTGACCCATCGATCGTATACAAAAATATTATAAAGTTTGGAAGATACATTTTTAATTGTTAAAAAGATAACAACTTCCGTCATCATTTCTAGCGGTAATTATTTATCAGCATATGGTTGTGAAGATTGTTGAATTTAGATCGATATCACGAATGGGCCAATATTAAACCACCATTGAAAACCTGGAAGCAGTGAACGGTCGTTTCGCCCTGCTCAGTGGTCTAGAGATTAAGTGCTCGCCCGCGAGACTGATAGGTCCTGGGTTCGAACACCGCGAGGCGGGAACGTGGATGCGCGCTGTTGAGGAGTGCCACAATAAAACGAAACGGCCGTCCAGTACATCCAGGTTTTCCATAGTAGTCTAGTTTCAATTGACTCATGATCTCAACTATATAAAGATAAAATTATCAGCTCTGAACTCCATATAGTAGTATGTCGACTAAATATTCATAAATTAGTTTTATAAACCACAATAGATTGTTTGTATCCAAACCTTCATCTCAATAATTAGGAGTTCAATACTTTTTAATTACTAAACTATTATTTCATTAAACTTTATGTAACCCATCAATAGAAGAATCAAACAATCCATTAATTCTTACAATAAAATGACAACTAAATTATTTGAAACTTTCTATTGAACAATTAATCATTCGTTTAATTTTTTTTTTAAAGAACAAATTTTCAATACGAATGTCAAGACAATTCTACTGTATGGGGCGTAAACCTGGAGAACTGCGAAAGCCATCATCCAGAAAATACAAGTGTTTATTAACAGTTGTTTACGCATGATACTTCGGATCTGTTGGCCAGAAATTATCAGCAACAACCTATTGTGGGAGACAACATACCAAATTCCAGTGGAGGAAAAAATCAGGAAGAAACACTGTAAGTGTATAGAACATACATTGAGAAAATCACCTAACTGCGTCACAAGACAAACCCTCATATGTAATCCTAAAGGCCAAAGAAAAAGACGAAAACCAAAGAACACATTACACCGAGAAATAGAGACAGACATGAGAAGAATGAACAACAGTTGGATAGAACTAGAAAAGAATGCTCAGGACAGAGTGTGTTTGAGAATACTGGTCGATGGCTTATGCTTGATTGGGAGTAACAGGAGTAAGTAAATACGTAAGTAATTTTTTTTTTAAAAAAGAACAAAAACAAACATTCATTTCATTAGTCAACTTACCAGTATACCATCCATGATGTCGATCCACTAAACAATTAATAGTTTTATACAAATAGTTTCCATGGTTCCTCTGATCATTATTAACATTATTAACATTTAATGAATGTTGATCAAAATTTTCTGGTTTATCTTTTTTAATCATATTGTTCATGTAATTGTTTTTCAACCAACAAAAAATAAATATGAATAGTGTAACTTTCAAAATATGAATGGTACAATATCAAAATGAAAATTGAATATTTAACACGTAGTTTATGTGAATATCCTTTCACTACATTTTTTTTTTTGGTGTGGATTATTCATGGAGTATTTAAAGGTCACATTATGATTATTATACTGTAAATGGATTTAGATTAATAATTTAAATTGACCAATCAAAATTAAGGATCAATTTTATTGATTAATTAATATAATCTTAGTATGCAGAGAAAAAGACTTTCTATGAGAGGTGTATTGATTAAATTACTCATTAATCTTGTTTATATTATTTAGATGTAAAATTTACTGATATTATATCTAGAGCTAAACTACTTGAACGATTGAACCCGAAACGTCGCCAAAGAGAGAAGACAGAAGACTAGGAAGTAGGAATGTTATTCCAAATACAGTGTCCAAATATAGTACGAAAATCTTATGTATTTATAGTTTTTGGCTGATCATTTCGGACAGCCAATAGGCATATAGGCGGTCCTTCTAATTCATCCAATAGGAAAGCTACACGCTGACATCATAGAATGTTCCTCTAGAGGTGATTGGATGAAATATCTTTGGCACTTTGTGGGCTCATTTAGGCTTCCTTGAGTTTGCCAACGAGCCATCCTTACATTACTAATAAAAAAGTGTTATTTTTTCTTGAAAAGTGAATATCAGGTAAGAGATGGATAGTGGTTAGCAGTGTAATCCATAACATACATTTCGTTCTATTTGGAACTTGTCAGCTGGATGTATCTGTAACTTAGAGTTTATATTCGCTCCCGGAATTGAACTCAGTACCATTTGCTTCAAATGCCATTGCTTTATCAATTACAGTCCTAAACATCAATGGGATGATTCAAATAGACAATACCAAATGAATTTAAACTTCATCCCATCACACAAGCAAGTGGCTATCAGGATTCAGTAGCTTAGTGGATATCGCGGTGGCGTTTGTAGTGAATGGTATTACGTTAAAGTCCCGGAGTGAATATAGACTCTGAGATTCATGTACATCCAGCTGACGAGCCCCAAATAGGACGAGACGCGCATCCTGGATTCCACTGCTAGCCACTATCCTTCTTTGCTTATAATGCTTGTAAATTAAGGCAATATCAAGGTAATCCACACAGGGTTCACATATGCTAATAAGGGACTTATCATTTGCAGACCTAAGCAACAATGGGAAGATTCAAGTAAACAATATCAAGTGAATATAGAGCCAAGTGATTATTTCTAATAAATAACCTGAGTTGATTGTATATTAAAATAAGTGGTTGGGTCATTGGAAATTAATACAATGAAAGAGTTATGTTAGATAATTAGTTGGGTTTGATAAAAAGCTATATTCAACTTAGGTTTCATAGCTGCTACTATTTGTCTACAAGGAGTATCTTTAAAATTAAGGCACCATTATTATTATTATTAGCTTTATTCAATATTATATTATTTGGTACAAAATCGAATTCTCAGCATAAAGTATTTCAACATGTTTACGTTTCTTATTTCTTCGTTGCTCCTGATGATAAACATTCAGTGATCGCCAGTTGGATGTCAGCAGTTCAGTCAATCGACATGTGAATAATGTATATTGTTTTTGCTGCATGTTCCCAGCAAACACGACATCTCTGTGGTTGTACAGTTTTCAGAAACGCACCGGAATAGGTTGTGTGCTTAATAGCCATAATGATGTATTAAAACAAACAATATTAGATAACTTGTTGAAATATATAGATGACAGGAACAGGTAGCCAGATGTTTAAGCAGGCCGCCCTCAACCAGTAAAATTACCGTTAACCTATTCGAATCACAACTGAATTTTTGTAGAACCCTGATCATTGAATAGTAATTAATCCTCAAGTCTTTCAAATTGATAAGAAACTCATTAACTTTCAGTGAATTCAAATAGTCTAGATGTAATGAAACATCGTTCCAGTATAATCATGATTTTTTTTGATTTACAAATCTATATTCCTTTATGGTAATGTTATGAATTTAGAAAAACAAAGTAGGCTGTATCCAATATGCTATGATTTTATGTTCGGCTTTTTATCACGTGAATTATCCGCCAATCGAAATACGACTTTGTCTAATTTTAACAATATGTCAAATCAATGATGTTCATCTGGTATTAGCAGTCTATTATCTTTAATGATCCCTCTTCCAATTGAGTCCAGAACACCAATTATAGCTTCTGCTAGGCGAATCATCTCAGTCAGTCAGTTACAACGTAGAACTTTGTACGTACGTACATCAGTTCGAGTTGCCATACCACATTAGCACAAAGATGAAGTTGTCGATTCAAACCCCACGCTCCCAGGTCGTTCAGACCAACACTAATCCAACTTCTTTTTCAGGTCCCTCAAGGAATACCCTTCCACGGTGTGGGCAGCCGGGAAGTGATATTAGCCCTCATACCCGTCACAGCACACCAGACCAAGTTGGTTACTTTCAAATCCTTCTAGGCGAATCATTTATTTCAAGTATACTCGCTTTATATCCTAGACAGACAGACCGCTACATACCATAAAATAGAAAATAATATTTGTACATGATCAAGCCAAATGTGGCTGTGAACATGTGAGACAGTAATCAATAAATTGAATATAATTTGGGGACAATAAATCGTATAATAATAAACTATAGGTCAAAATGAATCTTATAATAAGATGAATATAGTTATACACAATCTAATTACTCAATAGTTATACAATAAGAATATATAGAGAATCCACTTGGTATTGTTTGTTTGAATCTTCACATTGATGTTTTAGGATTGCAACTGGTCAGTCTCTAATTGGCATATGTGCATATTGTGCGTATTGCCTCGATATAGTCTAAATTCATAAGCATGATAAGCAAAGGTGGATAGTGGCTAGCAGTGGAATCCAGGACGCACGTTTTGTCCTGGGCTCGAGTCCCAGGGAGAACATCAACTCTGAGATGCAGGTACATCCAATCGACGAGCCCCAAATAGGACAAAACGTGAGTCAGACTGGATTCCACTGCTAGCCACTATCCACCTTTGCTTACCATAGAGAATAATAGTCCATTAATGGGTCCCAGAAGTTACCTGTACTTACATCTTCACTAAGATATAACAGGTAAGAACTAGTAAATAAGACATTTATTATGTTTACTATAAACTAGATATTATGTTGATATGGATAATGCCAAACACATAATTAGATCTAAAACTGAGTAATACTTACTTACTTTCGCCTGTTACTCCCAATGGAGCATAGGCCGCCGACCAGCTTTCTCCAACCCACTCTGTCCTGGGCCTTCTTTTCTAGTTCTTTCCAGTTCTTGTTCATTCTTCTCATGTCTGTCTCTATTTCTCGGCGTAATGTGTTCTTTGGTCTTCCTCTTCTCCTTTGACCTTCAGGATTCCATGTGAGGGCTTGTCTTGTGACACAATTGGGTGATTTCCTCAAAGTGTGTCCAATCCACTTCCAGCGCTTCTTCCTGATTTCTTCCTCCGCTGGAATCTGGTTTGTTGTCTCCCACAGTAACTTGTTGCTGATAGTGTCTGGCCATCGGATCCGAAGTATCTTGCGTAGACAGCTGTTAATAAACACTTGTATCTTCTGGATAATGGCTTTCGTAGTTCTCCACGTCTCTGCCCCATACAGAAGAACTGTCTTGACATTTGTATTGAAAATTCTAACCTTGGTGTTGGTTGACAATTGTTTTGAGCTCCAGATGTTTTTCAGCTGTAGGTATGCTGCTCTTGCTTTGCCGATCCGCGCCCTCACATCTGCATCTGATCCACCGTGTTCATCAATGATGCTGCCCAGATATGTAAAGATTTCCACATTCTCCAAAGCTTCTCCGTCAAGTGTAATTTGATTGGTGCATATTATATTGTATCGAAGAGTCTTGCTTTTCTCTTTGTTTATATTGAGACCTACTGCTGCTGAGACTGCTGCTACACTGGTCGTTTTCTCCTGCATTTGTTGTTGCGTTTGTGATAGAAGAGCCAGATCATCCGCGAAGTCTAAATCGTCAAGCTGCATCCTGCCTGTCCACTGTATCCCGTGCATTCCTCCAGATGTTGACGTCTTCATAATCCAGTCGATCACCAGGAGAAAGAGAAAGGGTGAGAGTAGGCAACCTTGCCTAACACCGGTCTTTACCTCGAACGAGTCGGTGAGTTGTCCTCCGTGGACGATTTGGCAGTTTAGTCCATCATAGGAGTTCCGTATGATGTTGACTATCTTCTCAGGCACGCCGTAGTGTCGAAGAAGCTTCCATAGTGTCGTCCTGTCCACGCTATCAAATGCCTTCTCGTAGTCGATGAAGTTGATGTACAGTGATGAATTCCATTCGATTGATTGTTCCACAATGATTCGTAGAGTTGCGATTTGATCTGTGCACGATCTATCCTTACGAAATCCAGCTTGTTGATCTCGAAGTTGAGCGTCCACGGAATCCTTCATCCTGTTTAACAATACTCTGTTGAAGACTTTTCCTGGTATTGAGAGAAGAGTGATGCCCCTGTAGTTGTCGCACTTGCTCAGATCGCCTTTCTTTGGTATATTGATGAGAAGTCCTTTTCTCCAATCCGTTGGTACATGTTCTTCGTCCCAAATCTTACCGAAGAGGATGTGGAGTATCTTGGCAGTTGCTGTTACATTTGCTTTCAGTGCCTCTGCCGGGATGTTGTCTGGTCCCGCTGCTTTGCCACTCTTGACTTGTCTAATGGCCATGCTGATCTCTTCAATTGTTGGTGGGCCAATATCGATTGGGAGGTCTGTGGGTGCTGCCTCGATTTTGGGTGGGTTCAGTGGAGCTGGTCGATTCAAGAGTTCTTTGAAGTGTTCTACCCACCTGTTTCGTTGTTCTTCAATATCGTTGATTACTTTGCCTTCCTTGTTTTTCACTGGTCTTTCTGGTTGACGGTAATTTCCAGCAAGTTTCTTTGTTGTATCATACAGTTGTCTCATGTTTCCCTCTCTTGCAGCCTTTTCCGCTGTCGTTGCTAAATCTTCCACATATTTACGTTTGTTGGTCCTGATGCTCCTCTTCACTTGCTTGTTTGCCTCTGTGTATTCGGCTTGTGCCTTGGCTTTTTCTGCTCTTGTTCGGCTGATATTGATTGCTACCTTCTTGTTCCTCCTTGCTTCAATTTTATCCAGTGTACCAACAGTGATCCATTCCTTGTGATGGTGCTTCTTTTGGCCCAGAACCTCCTGACATGTTGAAACGATTGCCTCCTTGATACCTTTCCAGCTGCTCTCTATGGTGGTTCCCTCTCCATTGAGTAGGTCATGAAAGGCCTCGAACCTGTTGCTGAGGGCTATGTTAAATTCGTTGAGTTTGCAGCATCTCGAAGAAAGGCCGTGTTAAACTTTTGTGATGTTGTCCGCGCCATTGTCCAGTGCTTCTTGAGTTTTAGTTTCATCTTGGCGACCAGCAAATGGTGATCGGATGCTATATCAGCTCCTCTTCTGGTTCTCACATCCTCCATCGTCCTCCTGAACTTTTTGTTGATGCAGACATGGTCGATTTGGTTTTGTGTAGTGTGATCCGGTGAAATCCAAGTGGCTTTGTGTATGTTTTTGTGTGAGAATATGGTGCCACCTATGACCAGTTTATTGAAGGCACATAGGTTTGCAAATCTCTCACCGTTTTCGTTCCTTCCTCCCAGTCCATGTTGTCCCATGACGTCTTCGTATCCAGTGTTGTCCTTTCCAACCTTGGCATTGAAATCTCCCATTAGAATGGTCAGGTCCTTGGTTGGGCACTTCTCGAAGATTGACTGCAGCCTATCGTAGAATTGGTTTTTAGCGTCTTCATCGTAGTCGTTGGTCGGCGCATAGCATTGGATGATGTTCATTGTAATGCCCTCTCTCTTTGTTCTGAAGGAGGCTTTGATGATCCTCGGTCCATGAGATTCCCATCCTATAAGTGCATTTTGTGCTTTTCTAGACAGCATCAGTGCCACTCCTTGTGTATGTGGGGCATTTTCTTCTTCATGACCGGAATATAACAGAAGTTCCCCTGAAGATAGTCGTTGTTGTCCAACCTGCGTCCAATGTGTTTCACTGATTCCAAGCACTTCCAGGTTGTATTTCCTCATTTCCGCAGAAATTTGGAAGACTCTGCCGGTCTCCCACATTGTCCGGACGTTCCATGTATCTATAAAAATTGTCGCTCTGGTTGTAAGAAGGTGCATCGGCCTCATGACTTCCGAAGGAACTCGGCTTTCATCATGAGACGTCATTTCACCTTCTACTCCCAGGGCAGAGTTTGAATGGTTTGAATGATTTTTTCTGGTTAGCGTTTTTTTAGCGAGTTGATTTTCTACGGGATGGGGTCGCTAACCCCATGCCCAACCCTCCTCCTTTACCCGGGCTTGGGACCGGCAGTAGCCCCTGGAGGAGCTACAGGCGGAGTTAAAACTGAGTAATATTCAGTCAAATTATAATTGTTATCTTTTATAATAGAAGATAGAACATTCTTTGCTTCAATAAATAGATGACCTAGCTATTCTACACAGGTGTAGATAACCAGTGTAGCAGAAATAGGCCTCAATATATACTAGGGAAAAAGGCAAGATCTTCAAATGAAGCACACAGAACAACAACCAAACCAATCATACTTGATGACGAGGCTCTAGAAGAAGTGAAAGTCTCTACGTACCTGGATAGCATTATCGGTGAACAAGGAGGATTTGATAGAAATGTAAAGGCAGGGTTAGCAAACCAAGGGGCGAAATTCCTAGAATTGAAGAACATATAGAACTCAAAACAACTGTCTGTCAACCAATATCAAAGTCATAATCTTCAATACGAACGTCAACAGAGTTCTATTGTACGTAGCTGAAACCTAGAGAACTATTACAACCATTATCAAAAAGTCACAAGGATTTATATATAGGCATAAGTAATCAAATAAGTATAAATTTGATTAACTTATATTTTATATAATTGAGATCATCAGTCAATTGAAGCTAGATCACCATGGAAAACCTGGAAGCACTGAACGGCCGTTTTGTCCGACTGTGGGACTCCTCAGTAATGCGCATCCACGATATATATATTTCAATTTCAGTCTCGTCGTGATATATAGTGACTGTCATTTGAAGTTACTGAGAGGCACCTGTCTAGTAGTTCATAGTTTCTTGATTAGAACTTTCGAAAATTTCTCTTTCAGATAGCGATTAATCATGGGGTCTCCTGTTATGTTTTATACTCTTGATTTAATTACTTTCACTATTGTAATGGTTAACTAACCAATTATGAGAAAACATAAATCAATTCTGTATGATAGGCTTCATTGCAAAAAGCCAAATTATAATTTTGTTAGTTTACGTACTTTTATAGGTTGGCAAACTGATAGGAATATGTGTTCTCGTCAGTCAATTAACTAGATGAACCAAATATTCATCCTAATAAAATGTGATATTTGAACTAACAGATGATTCCTTTGTACATGATTGTATGTTTATGACGAATTACAAATAGAATACATCCAGTTATGATTATCTAGTTTTACCTGCCATTATTTGCACTATTCCCGGAACCGCCTGATAATTATATAAAATCAGTTTAGGCTAAAGTTAATGAAAACTAATTTCCTCAAATGTCTCTATAAAATATATGTGATTAGTTGAAAATTTGCATATATAAATAGAATACATATATTTAACAGGTTTGTCTCATTAACATAATTAATAATAAGGAATAAAGCTCTTGAGTGAGTCGACCACTTCGTTCTTTTTGGAAATCTCATTACATTTGGTGTATTAGTATCTATCTAATTCTCGGGACGGATTCAGGCGTAGGTCCTTGTAAAGTCGTCTGCGTACTACTTATTTTATAAAAACGTTTGATTTAGTTCTATAGAGAATAAAAACAAAATGTTTTAAATAAATATTTATTTACTCCTTCAGTATACCTGCTCTAAATCGTTAGTTAGACCGCTGTCAATAAAGAAATGAACTGATCTTAACAATGACTAAATTCATTTACTTCGTGAGAAATCTGTCAATAGTGCAATTGCAGACGATACCAGTAACAAGATCATTCGTCTAACTACTTTAATATAACTTATTTCGCGAGCGAGGTTTATAAACTTGGCAGTGAAGAATATTAACTATATGAAATAAAATCTGATACAATCAGATTGCCTTAACCATTGTTACCGTGTTCAACATTATGATCTGACAGTTGAAAGTAAAAAAGTCACTGAACCACTGATCCATTTGTTAATCAATAGTAAAATTTCAATTATGTTTTTGATGACCTCGTTGAAAATGTATTTTTTTTGTTTCATTTTGTGTACGATTAAATATTTTGACCTTGACCTTGTAAATATATAAGTACGTTTTCGTATTATTAAATAAATGGTTATTATTTCAACTTATTTGGGTTTTATTTTGAGTTTTCCTAGCAAATCTGTTGTCATATGTCAGCATGTAGCGTTAATTTCGCTCAAAATGGACATCTGCTAACGGAGATTGTTTAGAAGTACTGAATGACTTCTCAGCAGAGGAGTCCCATACTAGAACAGAACAGACGTCTGAAGCTACTACGTTTTTAATAGCTGTATAATTTAGGTCGGTTCTTGTTCTCCATAAAAGACTGTATAATTGTAGTCCCTAATATAAGCAATAGTGAATTACAAAACACTATTATTGTCTTCACATTCATCGAACAAGCTAATATGTGGACTTAGTGTGGTGTATGCTACTTATGTTGACAGATATTAGTAGTATGCTACTATTGAGGAAGTTAGATCCCCAGAACTCACTTGGAAAAAGTTCCTCATTTTGTAACTTTATTCTGAAAATTCGAACTTTATGTTTTCGCGCCAAGAAACGCTTAGTTGACATACAGCTTACATTTCCCACTCGGAAATCCTTAACTGTCATTGGTTGACGAATATTTTCAGTACGTTATTTTGTGGCGCTCCCATGGGCGTTTCTATCATTGTATAAATAAGCTTGATTTGCGTGCTTAGCGACCTCGTATTTTCTGAGTGCTTGTAGAATACATTCTCTACGTCTCATCAAGACTTCTTGATCTAGATAGCAGAATCGGGGACAACGGATTAGAATCAGCCTATCGTGTCACTGACCTTCGTTCCATTTACCGAGTAGGGTGAACTCGTATCAAGCATATCAGTCATTCCAGTCAGAAGTGGAATGCCTACCAGCAGAGGACTGAATCGAAGAGAACAGGAAGGAAAACAGAGAGTAATTGTAATAAATGCAGAATTGAAAGAATCGTGAGACATGCAAAGGATAATTGAAGTAAGATGTGCAAACTATATTTAATGTGTGGTTTCCATATATTAAGAAAGCACTCTAATTTTGCATTTAACAATAAATTGATTAACCCCACCAAGTTTTCGTTCACTACAATAGTAGCTTAGTAGATAACGCTTTGGGTTTTCAGAACGATCGGCAGTGGACTAGAGTTTCAGTGTGGATATCAATGCAGGTACACCTAGGTGACGAGTTTGAAATAGGACGAAATGTGCGTCCTGGATCCCACCTGTTAGCTGTAAGACAATTACCATAAGCCATTGGTATTTCTACTGTTATCCTAATTGTAAGTTTTCATCTGATTAGTAAACCTCTGCGATAACTTCCGACATTTATAAATGATAATTGATTAATTACAAAAATGCTTTGTACACAAACGTCTTAATTCTATATCCGTGTAGACCTTTTTATACAGTGTCGTTGTTTTACATTTTATACTGATAATAATACATGACTCTTTGAGCATGAACAATAAAATACATTTGACTTGCTTTTCTAATGTTGGTCGGTTGTTTGTGACGGGATGAATTTTGAGTGAACAATCAAGATGTGAGGAAACCATCTTATTTTCAAAGTTCATTAAACGTGCAATTTCTAACATTTTTGTTTAGCTAATGGGTGCTGTAAATATGTATTGTTTTTCATAGGGGCTTAGTTTTATTTATTTAAAGCTAACTACATATATCCTCTATGACCACGAGAATGTGGCACATGCCGACTTGTTGAATGAAAATCAATCGATAAATAATTTGAGAGCTAGAACTCTAATTGTAATCCTCAGTGAAAATTATTCTCCTGTATGTAGCATTCACTCACTAAATGAATGGAAAATGCTAAACATTGTACATGCATATATATAAACATGATTTCATATGTCCACGCGAGCATAGCCATTTTCAAAGAAATCCTAGTAACTACCTCCTTGTGGCGGTGTCGCTTACGAAAACGAGAAGACGAAAATCGAATGTCCGGTGCTTAAACCGGATTGGTGAGTACGGAGGCAGTTGGAAAACTCTGATCTCAAACTAATATTGCAGGAGGACTTCAGGATACTGAGGAAACAAATAGCATATGAACTTATTCTTGGTTATCGTCTACCACAAAATAGCATCTCCTAAAGTTGCTCCACTATTGTGTATAAGAGCTCTAGGTAAAAGGCACGGGGATTGGCTCCCTAATAAAATCACCTACTTTCGTTTGAGCAGCCCAGCAATATTCCCGCCCACATACAAATTTAATGATATGTGTGTGACATGTATACTTCGGTACCACTATATACCAATGTTTATGTGTCTAAATAAATAAATAAACGAACGCAATTGGTATCTACCATAACAAATTCATAAAACTATAAGTTTGTTTACAATGTTTAACTAATACTTCAAAAAAGTACATTGATACAATTAAAACAATAAAAATACTATATATGCATGTCAATGAGCTTATTACAGACTGTACATAGTACAATAAAAATGGGCATTTTCTTGTTTGAGAACTTGTTTTTCTTTGTATTGAAGGAAGAAAGGAATGCAACACAACAGTTCATGTGAATACAAAGACTATGAAAAATGATATAAGCAGCGAGTGACAAAAGGAAGGAGATTATGAATCAAGAATCGCCAATAATCGAAGAAGATTCTCTTGAAATAGATAATTAATGAATTGGTGTAAAAAAGAAATGAATAGTTGAAAAAAAGCTTATCTTCAATAGTACTTAGGAAAAGTGACATACACACAGCCAAAGAAAATACAGGTTTTAATTTACATATGGCTAGTTGGTGAAATATATAGTTGGATGAATGTCATCAGAAGCAAAAAACATCTGGTGATAAAAACAAATACCTACAATTCCGTTTTCACTGTATCATCATCTGGAAATGAAATAGTAATTGACAAAAAATAGAATATGTTACATTTTAAACTACATTTTTATATATTACATAATAAGTTTCTTTTACGTGCATATTCTCAGAGCTTTTTTAGGTATTCCGACCACATAGGTACATGCGTTAAACGTTAAGTCCGCTCATCATCATAAACGTTTAAGAAATTACACATAACTACTCACAAAACTAAAAGTAGTATGTTTATTTTTGCAAAACAAGTTCACACTCGCTAATTACATTTCTTTATGAACCATAGATTAAGGAGATTTGTGGTAAATTTTTCGATGACTTATAAATTTGGACCGAATATTTTGAATAGAATATTGTTAGCCAATCTATTATAACTACAAGTTTACTAAACTATTCACATAATTCCTGAATTTAAAGTGATTTCATCATACAGCAATGAGAAGATGAAGTGGATCTAAGAAATGCTCCCAAATGCCCTGGTACGGCCGAGAGTGGGGAGAGTTCGTTCTCCCTCTCCAAATGCTCTCACATGACCACGCGAATACATAGCCTCTGCCACACAAGTCCTACTCACTGCCTTCTCGTGGCATTACTGTTGTTTACAAAATTGAGAGGACGAAAAGCGAAGGTCCGGTTCTTTAACCGGGTTGGTGGACAAGGAGGGTCCACCTAGGGGAGTTGGAAAACCATGATTTCAAACCAATGGTGCACATGGGATACAGTATCCTGAAGGAACAAATGGCTATGAACCAATCGTTGGTCACCGACTACCATGGGACTGCATCTCCTCACGATGCTCTACTGCCTTGTAGACTAGACCTTCAGGTCAAAGGCTCCGGGTGTGGCCACCTTAGAAAACCACCTGCTTCAGTCTGGGCACCTAGGCAATATCATAGCCCTCATACAAATCAAATGAGATTTGTGCGGCGCATATGTATCTGGTGCTTCCTTGTACCAATATTTATGTGTTTAAATAAATAAATAAAAATCTAAGAAATGTGATTCATTTGCACTGTTCACTTATAGTAATCTAATCCCACATATAAATATGTATGCATTGATGTAGGAAATGTAAAATTTCAGTTTTACTTTTTCACATACAGTTTTGCACTTCTATAATGCACTACAACCGTCTTGTAATTTATATGACTAGTTGAACTAGTCAACTGAAAGTGCGAAAAACTGGATCTAGAAAAAGGTAATGCTGGACTTTTACAAACTCTGAGTCATCATCATCACACACTCACACACACATGCATATTAACATACATATGACCAGATTGATAAGAATGCTTAACACAAGTACATCAATTATGTATTCTCATCGCTCTATAAAGATTTCGCCATAATTTGAAAGACGATTTTTACAAAGTTAAATGTAGTATGACTTCTGTTGAATTGAAATTATTCATCAACAAATGCTGGGAAAATGACTGTTGCTATCTAGTTGCATTGAACTACTTATTTCGAAAATCCAGTATTAAGAAACTCTCGTAACTCTTTTAGCATATCACAATGAATCTGTACAGCATAATCATATTCTACTTAAATCAATAATGACAAACATGGATTGACATATTGCTAAAGCAGTATACATACCAATTTTTGAGCCTTCTACTGGACTTTCTTTCAAATGTGTAGGTTCAGCAGTGGTTGAAACTGTAGAAAATTCAGAAGCAGAAGTTGCACTACTACTACTACTGCTGCTGCTTTCAGGAGAGACGTAGACACGTTTCCACAATTTTTTAATTTCACGATCATAATCAACCCATTCCGGAGCGATACGCATTGCTGCAGTCAACTTCGGTTCTTTTGTACGTGGATTATTACACAGATCGATAGTTTTCGCTTTAGCTAAACTTTCATCAGAACACCATGTTTCACACCATAACCATTCTTGAGGTAATGATTTAATTGGAACCTTAACAAAGTAAGTCAAATAAACTAATTGAATCTCAAATAAATACTTTAAAAGAATACAAACAACCAGATACCGGTCAAAAAACTGATATATGTTGCATTGGTAGTGACTATTTCTCACAAGTGAAAAACCAGCACAAACTAAGGATAAGAGTAAGGTAGTTTCTTCAATCTATGTAGTTGGGAGAAAGTGTGATTGTTTTGCACTTTTCTAGACTTGAAATAAAAAATATCCCATTAAACAAATTATTGGTACATAAATAAATAAATTTCACAACTATCGTTTGTTGAAGTTGGTAAGTTTATTTTGTAAAATACCCATTTCAAGTGCTGTAGTGAACAAAGTCGGAATGGACAACACCGGATATGGGACGACATTGACTGGGAGAGAGAAACTAAAATGGAGAGAGATTTACAAACCTATATGCATTCAAAAAATGGTTATAGGCAGCACAATATTCCCAAATAAACGCACATAAAGGTTTTGTAATTTCGAATTTATTTACATTGAAAATCCCATATTTATCATTTTTTCTCTAATCAAGGTGCTTTCGTTAAATGATGCACTGTTTTTTTAATATGATAGTTTCTCAATTTACTTCCAAAAATACCGTAAACATAGCTATCCGTAACAGTTTGTTACTTACTTGCTTACTTAAGTCTGTTACCCCCAATGGAGCATAGGCCACAGACCAGTCCTGAGTCTTCCTTTCTAGTTCTATCCAGAACGAACAACAACCGGATAGAACTAGAAAGGAATACCCAGGAAAGAGTGGGTTGAAGAATGCTGGTTGACTCAGGTTAATCTTACTTTGATGTTTCGAACTAATTTCCTACTCTATATCCGATTTTAGAATTAATAAATGATTAAATACGAGGAAACGTAGTCTCAAAAATAAATATTGAACGGATATTTACATGCTGATTCAATTGTAAGCCAATTGAAGCTATCGAAGATTTCCATAACATATTTAGGTCGTGACTAAAGCTGTGAAGTTCAAGTTCCTATTCGAGATTCATCAGCTGAATATTGACGTTCACACTGACTGAAACATGGTACTTGTTAAACATTTGTTTTAGTACACCCATGGATTGCGACTAACAGTATGTAGGGGATATCGGGGCATCAGCTTAAGGTGAATAAATGGCGACAGAGCCTATTCGAGTGAGAAATTTAAATTTGAGTAACTCATTCACCATATACTCAGGTTTAGCCTGTATTCCAAGTCTGAGGGCAATTGATACTACCCAGTTGCCCAAACCAAAGCACGTGGAGGAATGTTTGAACTTCATTAAATGTAGTCCTGACAACTGGAAAATGTAAACCTTGAAATAAAACTTTCGAGTAGTGAAAAAAATTATGAAAAGAAAATCCAAAGTAAAGGCTACTAGGTCTAACTTTTATAGTCCAACATAACTGAATACACTAGACGATTCGGTTATAAAGAATATAGAAATGAATGTTGGAAAATTCATTCATATTTCACTTTTTTAGAGCTGGAGTATAAAATGCTTTATGAATATGATGCTGGAAATTGAGCGATTAGATGGAATAACCAAGAGTTTACACAAACAAAACAATGAACAAACAACTAAATTAAAGCTGCTACTAAGTCACTACGGTTAAACTAACCTGATGAATCATATTATTAGGTAAATCTTGATCTAGATTAGACAAACTATTTGGATCCTGACTTAGACCATGATATTGACCACGGAGTCGATCACCAGCAGCTAATCGACGAAATCTTGTCAAATCGACAACATATAAAGCTGAAATATGATATGGTCGACCAGCTAAATGATTAGCCCAATAGCCTTGTTTCCAAAATCTGAAACCATCCATTTCTTTACGAGAATCACAAAATGGTGTGTAACCGTATGGAGCACCATCTAAATCCAGATCGGCTAATTCTTTTAGATCCGCTCGAACAATCTAACATATTGATAAATCGAATCAAGAAAGAATATACTCAATTCATATTATTATTGATTTAATAAATAAGTACAGAGGCCTGTTAAACTTGATCACTAATTTATAAGCTTTGAAATGTTGCAACATAATAAACAGCTTTTTCCTAAACTCCTCATAAATATTTTTATTATCTCGCTAAATTTATGTTTTCTGGAAGGATAGCTTGAATGCCCAATCACTCCTAATATCACTTATACTGTTACCAACTATACTACTCTAAGATTTGCCTTAACAATTCCATTTCGCTGTGCTAACAAGTGTTGGCAACTTGAACTGATGTGCACATTTATCAGGTTCTACTTTGTATTTAGTTAACTGAAAACTATACACATTTGAATCATTTAATTAAAACCAAAGAGTAATAAGTAAAAAACAAATAAGGAAATATTACTTGATCAGCATCCACAAATATAATTTTGGTCACATTCAATGGGAATAGAACATCAAGGAATAGAATTTTATAACCCCATATAATACGTTGTTTCTCAGTTTGAGCATGTAACCAACGTGGCCATTTATATTGAACAAATTCATATTCAAAACCATATTCTGTTGCCATATATGGTATAAAATCTTTAAATGTTGGTGAAAGATAGTTTTTAAGGAACCAAAATTTCACAGGGGAATTGGTATGTCGTATTACAGTTAACATCATAATTCTTTTATATTGGAAAAAATCAATAACACAAAATATACAAATATGAATGTTAATGTAGAGAATTAAAGGTGTGTTAACGCATATATATTGAAAAATCAAGTCGCTAAGAAAAAAAGCTTTGTTTTATAGAGTTGAGATCATTAATCAATTGAAGCTAGACCACCATCGAAAACCTGGAAGCACTGCGGCCGTTTCGTCCTATCATGGGACTCCTCAGCAATGTGCATCCACGATCCCGCACTCGCGAGATTCGAACCCAGAACCTACCAGTCTCGCGCCAGAGCACTTAATCGATAGACCATTGAGCCGGTATCCAACGGTGTTAATGTCTAAATTCAACCGATCCACGAAATTGTTCGGTTGAACTTTCCTGTCTTACGGTTATGTTTGAGTAGAATGTTCTTCTTTAGTTTATATTTCTATTACAGTATAATTGTAGTACGGTAGTTAAGAGAAAATGTAGTACATTTTACAAATATTAAATTATTATGTACGAATTTTGAGACTAGGCAATCAGTAGTCAAGATAAATATAAATAAGGCTACCATGAAAATCTAAGTGGTTTTTTTATGTTAAGTATTAATGAAGAATGGAAACTTTAAGACTATGACTGCAGAATAGTTATTTCGGATTGGTGTGTTGACACTAGGGATAAGAAGATATTCATTTAATTAGATTTATATTACTTCCGGAAGTCATAGTTAAGACTCAGTGCTGAATTTGTTGATTTATTAACATTCATACCGAAACACAATAGATGTTTCATTAACTACACCCCCCAAAAGCAATTATTAAAGTACTTCTTAAACGGTATATCAGAGATCAATGGTAGCTGGCAGTGGAGTTCAGGACACGCGTTTCGTCCTACTTTGGACTAATCTTCTGGATGTACCTACGTCCCGTAGTTGATGTTCACTCCGTGACTCACTCCTAGTACCTTTCGCTTGAAATGTTATCCACTTAGCTATTGAGTGGACACTAGCTAGTGCAATGAGGTGAAGTTTAATTCGTTTTTGTATTGGTTGTTTGAACCTACCAATAGAATGAAGGTACATTTAGCTAACGAGTCCAAAATATGACGAAACATACGTCCTAGATTTCACTACTAACCACCATACATTTCTGCTTATAATGCTTGTGGATTAAAGCAATATCGAGGCAATCCACACAGGATGCACATTTGCCAATAATAGACTGATAAATTGCAGTCCTAAACGTCGATGGGAAGATTCAAACATTAACATTCCTTAAATATTCTACTACTAATTACAAAAAATATTAGGGAAGAATCCAAATATTCTATTTATTCTGTCTAGAAAGGACATATACCAGTGCATTTAATAAAAATAAATGACATCATATCTGACATGGAGGTGAAACCGGCTAATGAGTCCTGGATAAGAAGAAACGCGTGCCCTATATCCCGCTGCTAGCCATATTACATCTATTATATACTAATTTGTGTTACAATGGGTAAATCGAGATAATAGTCACAGGATGCACATATCCCAACCAAGACTGACTTCAGTTCAAATATCAACAACCGGATAATCTAATTCATTTCAAATGAAGTTAGTTAATTATCTACGTGATGGTCAATTAAAAACCTATTATTCGAAAAAAAAACAACTGATGAACATACCTTAATAATCGTTCATACAAATGACCAGAGGCAACGGAGAAAATGTTGATAGTTTCTTGATTTGAAGCACATTTATGCCAAGGCAAATGAGATGCAATTGAATGTTTTAGACTATGAAATAAAAAGAATGAAATTTAGGAATCAACTGATCACAGTTGAAATCATTTGGTATGATGAAATTAATTGAATGTGAGAAAGGGAGTCTTATTTGCACGAAAATTAAATGAGTAACAAAAGAACATCGATAGTTGCTAATCAGGAAATATATTTAAATTACTCGCATTTAAATAGCTTGCTACATATTTAAGGTGAACAGAAATGCTATTAAGGGTAATAGAGATGACTTTTTTGTCAATCAAACGATAAGCATTTTGTTTGGCTGTTCGTTCTTTTCAACTTGATTGGGGTGGGTGCGATTATCGTTATCAATGGTTAGAGACGTTGGATGATATTATTTAGAATCGTTGCAATGCCGCAGATGCATTCACTCTTTGTCTTCCCTTAGGTCCTGGTTTTTAAAATTATTCGTAATTTATTCTTTATTCCCGAGTCATGTCATCTGTACGTTATGTAATATCAGAGGTTCTACCGCTTATAACTAGAAATAGGAACCACCGTAATTCCCACGACACAAAGTAAGATACAAAGGTTGATGCAATGAAGGTGTACTGATTCACTAAAACACGACGTTGTGAGAACAAACATACTCATATATGTACTGATTTTGTACACACTTGATTATTGATTGACACATTTTAAACAGTTAGTCCCTTTAATAAATTTGGATAATGCTGTATTGCAGATGATTTTGAACCAAATCATTCAAAGTTTGTAACCATTGTTTACATAGATCATGCGAACCCCACTCAGGTAGTTTACATCTATTAACATGGCTCAATCCACTTGTCAATGACTTCATAGACAGGTGGCACGTTTCGGTTCGACTGTTCCTAGTTTTCTTCTAACCTGCTCCTGAACCGGAAAACACTACCGTCGAGGTAGGCGGTAGTTGGACATACGTAACACACGTCCAAACCACCTCAGTTGATGAATATTTACTACCCTAACAACTGGTTTTCCATCGGTTCATAAAGGGAGAGGAGAGAAAGATAAGTAAAACCAAGTGTGGTGTAAATGAAAGTTATATTCAGTAAAAAACAGTATACAGTTGACAAGTTAATAATAAAAATGTTGAATCAGACATCATCGTCCATGTGGCAATTTGGAGCGATAAAAAGAAATTTTTCAGGTTCTACATTATTAATGACTAAATATGTTCGGAATATTTAAATAAAAGATATCAACATATTGCTAGTCATAATTGTTCATTGTTTTCAATCATAATAAAAGCGAGGTCATCAGTGTTAAATATACGTAAACTTATCTAGACACAAACATACGTGTACTCATCGATGCTCTCTTACGCTAGATTCTTTACGGAACAAATTCTATTTATAATTGACCGTAATTAGAACAATAAAATGGAAAGGTGATCGAATCAATTACAGTAACTGCATAATACCGTTGTTCATGCGCGTATTCGGAGAATAACATTGAGGAAGTGAGATCTCTATTAATCCACAAGCCTTGATAAGGCCGGGGTTGGGGAGAGTCTGCTCTCCCTCTCGAAATACTCTCACATGGTCACGAGTATAAAGACACTGTTAGGGAAGTCTTACTCACTACCTTATCGTGGATGTGGTGTTGTTGTTGTTCTAAAATCCTGAGGGAACAAAGGGCGTATGAATCTATTGCTGATCACCTGCTACCATGGAACTGTATCTCCTAATGTTGCTACACTACCTTGTGGATTATACCTCTCGAGAGGTGACCCTCTAAGAAAACCACTTGCCTCGGTTTGCGCTCCCGAGCAGTACTCCAGCCCTCACGTAAATCGGATGACGAAGTGTGGTGCATGTATATTTGGTGTCTCCTTGTACCAAGTGTCTAAATAAATAAATTGCAAATAACCGCAACTGATTATACTTTTTTTGGATTTCCTTCACTATTATAATACACATGACTACTTGACCAATTTCTCGACAGAATTGTGCCAAAGAAATCAAGCGATCATGGCAAATTGATAGACTATTTTAGAATTCTTTGCGTTATTATTGTTACAAATAAACAACTAGAAAATAAGTGAATATCAGAGAGGACTAACCAATTAATTTTTTATAGTTCATAAATCCTTAGCGTCCCATATTTATTACATAATGAGAAATGGAGGCCAGAAAGTTGATATAGTTTAGTCTTTGAGTCAGAATTTAAGTAAACCGATCATACATCTATCGATTTATAAAGATTTCCATACTGAATACACAGATAATGAAAACAAACATAATATTTACTTACCCACTAAACCAAGAAGGACAATATTCATCAGCATAATTCGATAATGTGGACCAAACTTCTGAATGTTTATTTAACCAATTATTTGATTCTTCAGAACTGTCGTCTAACATACTTTCACTGGCAAATTCGGCACGTTTATTAACAGAGACTTCAATGATTTTAGAACGGAAATTACTAATCAATGTGATAATTTCTTTAGGATTAACAGATGTATCAGTATGTTCTTGGCTACATGTAATTATAATAAAAGAGATGACAGGAATTAGACATTTTTTATTGAACAAACTAGTTTATTTACATCAACGAATCAATCTAAACTTAAACAAATCCCCAGTGTTATTACAGAAAGGGTTTTGTGAAGATGCGCACTGCTGAGGAGTCCCACAGTAGGACGAAACGGCCGTCCAGTGCTTCCAGGTTTTCCCTGGTGGTCTAGCTTCAATTGGCTCACGCTTTCAACTATGAAAATCCTCAGTGACCAAATGAATGTGTATCTGATAAACTTTTTTGTTAGTTACTTGTTATTGCAACACTTAGTGTAGGGATGAAACAATTGTCTTGTGCATTAAGATTTTAATACTTTTCTGTGATGTAACTCAAAACTTTGAGAAAGGGAATAAATTTAAATTTAATGATTCCCCGCCAACGTGTATTTAACATGTCATGAATCCGTGCTTTATCATATTTTACAATCACATACATAAACTGTCTAGTTTTAGTTAAACTGGAAGAGTGAATTAGCATAATCAAATATCAACTTATTCAACCCAGATGAAGAAGTATGTCATATTGGAAAAGATAAATGACAAAGGTATAGTATACTGCCGGGCTTGAGTTAACGAATCGGAATTAAAATGACACCTCACTTATTTTGTGCGAAATTTAAAATAGAGTGGTAGATAACTTGTATCTTATTATTAACGGAGTAAATATTGGCAATATTTATTGCAATATCTATTATGCAATCAAAAGGTGAATTTAAGACGGTGCTTAAGCTAAATTACAGGATATACCCATTCCTAAGGCAGATTTTATGTTAAAGTACTCTATGACCCAATGTGTAGTTGAGAGTGCTCCATGAAGCTAGATATTATTCTTCCACTCTAATCCTTACTCTTAATTTCAACCCTAAGTTTCTTAAGTTTGTAAACGGAAGGGTGACAAAGCATTAGATCATAGCTGATAACAGTTTGTGATAAAAATCTTTATCCTAATTTGTAGACTAATCTTATGACTTAAGCTTTATTTTCGATGCCTTACCCTAACCATTTTGGATTATCGCTTATATTAGTTGATGACAAAAACTCGATGTAGTGATAACCCTAGCCCGACTCCTAATATCCACAACATAACCTTTTTCTTTTACTGCAAAGAATAAACCGACATGTAAAGGCTGATTACTAGAATCAAAGCTACTGTTCGCGTTTAATTTTTCTGTACTAGGCAGCGTTTCCTGATTATCTGATAGGTCACTCAAGATTATTGGTATATCATACTTTTACCGGATAAATCAAAGGTCATTAGATATTTTGATACTTTAAGTACTGAATTATAAATAATAGTTAAATATAATTCGGTGATTACTCATTATGAAGATAGTTTTTCCTGGGACTATTTGACATCGACTGAAGAACTATTAAAAAATAAAGGGTATTAAGCAATAACTGTTTCTTTATAGGATTCCACAGCACTGTGCACCTACAATTCGATACAGAATCTAAACCAGTGTACTCAAGTCTCGAGTGAATATGTCAACTTCAAACCACTGATTATTGAGTTGGAATTCACAGAGGATACATCATTAGGATAGTCAATCCACATTCACGACATTGACTAACGATTTTTGTAGGGCCGCGGCGCTAAGTAATCTAAATAAACTAAGATGAAATAGCTTTCTTTTATTTCCTAATTTCCAATTTATGTTAGTCAATGGTGGAAAATAACTTGAAATTATAAATAATCTGAACAACTCAATATAAAATCTAGAAAATGCGATGTACAAAAGAATGTAAAATTCATACCCGGATATTTCATAAAGTTTTTGTGACTTTCCCGCACGAATATTTAAATGCCAAGCGCCAGGATTGGCTTTGAGTTGAAAGTAACCCTGATAAATAAATATATATATTAGACTTTAAAAAAAAAACGTAGATTCTGTTAATTATAAACCTAATTTAGCATTAGCTGTTTTGAATATTAAGGTTTATCGGTTTTAGGACAACGAGAAGTTATGTGGTTATCTTGTAACCTACATTTTTATCCTTGATTATTCACTTATCTGACAATCAAATTATTTTGAACAAAATTATACTGTTAAAGAGTTTACTCGCCGTTGATCTGAATTGATCGAATGATTAAAGATTAAAGAAATATACATGCCGCCTACCGTCATACATAATCATCGACTTAATTCGCGTTAGAGAATAACGGAACAGTACGACAGAGTACTAGATACTACAAGGGTTTGAATTATCCTACTGTTGATATTCAGGACTGAATTTCCGAATGGTTTCAGTTGACGTATGTTCAGAATTACATCTCAGTGTTAACATTAATACTTGAATGTGTGACGAATGCATTTAATAAGTCAAGAATAAGATGAAACGCGTATTCTGGATTTTACAGCTAAGACCCAACTATTCAACCTCATTTTATTGTTGAATTCACGAATCAATTGTAGCTAGACCACCACTGGAAACCTGGAAGCACTGGACGGCGGTTCAGTCCTAGTGTGGGACTCCTCAGCAATGCGCATCACGTTCCCGCCCCACGAGATTCGAACCCAGGACCTATCGATCTTGCGTGCGAACGCTTAACGTCTAGACCACTAAGCCGGCCTATATCCAACGGTGTTAATGTCTAACTTCAACCAATCCACGAAATTGAGCCACCGTTCATCATTGTCATCAGTGAGTTACTATCTCACAACAGACTCTGCTGGAGTTAAACATTAACACCATTAGATACCGGCCGGCTCAGTGGTCAAGAGGTTAGGCGTTTGAGCGCAAGACCGATGGGTCCTGGGTTCGAATCTCACGGGACGTGAACGCGGATACGCAATGCTGAGGAGTCCCACACTAGGACTAAACCGCCGTCCAGTGCTTCCAGGTTTTTCAGTGGTGGTCTGGCTACAATTGACCCATGAATTCAACTATAAAATTACTAAAATCTCCACAAATCACCCTTCTGATATTCTACTTCAGTTGAACATTTTACAAATAAACGACAGCAACATTGTTTGCTTCCTGATAGTTCTGTTTTTTCAAAATGAAATTTCGAGTCTGATTCCATTGAGTAAACTATAAATCTACGGTCATCTTAGTGACTTCAGTAGTTTACCAAATTGATTAAGCCATCAAAACAGTCGATGTTGTGTTCCAATGAAAGTCCTTTATTATCATTATTATCATATAATATACGAATAAAATTAAAGTAATAAACAATGTAGGTTAAATGGTTAATCAACAGAAAAACGCTAGCAAAAATAACAAAATGATGTAAGCCATCGCTTAGTAATTATCGCATTTCTATAGCGGGTTATGCTTTTACCCCACCTTTCATTTTATGTACTACAAATCATATCAGAATAGATCTCACGCAATAAGATAACAACATTCAGTCAATAACGAACTTTAGAAATTCTTCAGAACCTGCCTTACCAAATTAGCCATAACAATTGTATCATATTCAATAGTAGTTGGTGTGGGACCAAGCGTAAATTGAAGTCCACGTGGAGGTTTCATACTCCCCTCTTCCATACAATGACCTTCAAGTAACAGATATTCTAATTCGAAAACAGCTTCCACTAAATGTTGTGTAGAGTGATAATCAACTAGGCGTAGATTATCTAGATCTTGTACAGCTTTAATAGCAGCAACCATCCAACCATGTGGTTCATCCATTCCCAATGTAAGCAAAGATTGACCAGGTAAGTGAGTAAAATAAGCACGAGGTACAATAACAGATGGATTGAGTATAGATTCATTTTCTGGAAACAATGATGGTTCCCATACGAAACGATAAAAACTGAAATAACAGTAAGAAATTGCTATATTTTTAAAAGATTACTAGTGTTCATTTATCTGTTAATTAACATTTCAATATATAGAACATTTTTTCAACCCCAGTGCCCAACTTTAATCAGTAGAAGTTTCATTTAAACTATACAAATTCTACTGGTCATGATACCTTGATCAAGATAAGAATACAATCTGCACTTCTACAAAATTTGTATAGATAAACATACTTGACATTCATACCTTTTGAAGTGTGCTTATGATATCTAACATATCTAATTTTTGATAAGAACCATGACCGAGTTATTGGTAAAATGAAGTCGAGACACAACTATTTGAAATTAAAGCGAAAAACTTTATATAAGTGGAATCATCTATTCACATAGTAATTATGAATTTATCAGTTATGTTGTATTTCGCTTTCAAAGATTCGGCAAATTGTTATAAAGATGGTAAGAATAAGGGATAACGCTATTCGATAAAGAATAAACAATATTCTTGTCAATAGTGAATCTGCGTTGTAACATCTTAAACGAAAGACAACGTCCAAAATTTGTTGACATCTGAAAGTTCTAATATCTTGAAAATATACACTTCAGTTTTTTTTTTGTTTTATATAAAAATAAAAATGTTCATTTATCCGATGCAGTGTAATGGACGCTAATCATAAGATTGTTTTCGGGAAGTGTGTAGCGGAACGTGACATCGAAGACAGACAGATTGAAGAGCTTTAATGTATTGAAAGCGCCGCGTTGGTAGAACACTTGGAGACCAAACGAGAATACAGTTCGGATAGTAGAACACACCGAAAGATGCAAATGAATGATTGAAAGTTATGTATAATATATTACACGAGTGCTTTGTAACTGCTTATTGCCGTGCTTTACAGTAGTATACCTAACTATGGGTAGGTTTGCGCACTGAAGTAAAGTGACAAATAACAATCAAATCATTTTAATTAGTATGGGGGATTTGTTGACATTGTAGAGTTTTCATTGTGTAAATCACGAACTGATCTTAGCTGGACCACCACTGAAAATCGGAAAGCACTGGACTACTATTTCGTTCCAGTTTGGAAGTCCTCGGCGGTGCCCAACCACGACCGCACATCAAGTGATCTGACTGAAGACCTGTCTCACACGTGACTGCTTAACTTCTGGAGTACTGAGTCGGCATTCAATGGTGTACATGTCTAACTTCAAGCTGCGAAGTTCCATAATACAATGAAACAGCTTCTCAGTGCTTTCTGGTTTTTAATGATGATCTAGCTAGGATCAGTTCGTGATTTAAATAATGAAAAATCACTATAAAAAGGGTGTATCTATAGAATTCTATTAATTTCACATTAGAACATTTCCTTACTATAAGAAAAAAACTAACAACATACCTTTTCACTGGTAGTTCAGATAACGAAGGTGATGGATTGAATAAAACTTTTACAGTACATGGCAAAGAGCGCTGTAGTACAATCAGTATATGAGATAGACGTTGAGCATCACGAGAAGCCGGATCTATGATAGCTACTAATTCAAAATTTGGTTCATTTTTATTTCCGTGAATAATGAAACCTGAATGATTGTATGATACACCATGAAGAAATATTCTATGTCCATTTTGGCTTTTGTCGGAGATCCCATCTACGGAAGACTAGAAGAATAGCGACAATAGAAATATTACGTCACAGTTTAGTAAGTTAATGGATCTGTAGTAAAACAAACCATTGTGCAGATTATATGAATCATTAGTCACTCGAATTACCTTTCCAACCTTTCATGTTATCACTGTGCTTAACTCATCCATCTTATTTTGTGAATTCCTAATACTATATCTATTCGTTTTGCCTTCAACATTTATGTTTCTCCGAATAGTCAAAATCTATCCATTATACTTCTCATCTGTAACCAATCAACTATTTTTCCCTAATCACCTTTAACTACTCTTCAAACAATTACGTAACTATGTGTGGTGTATGGAACTATTCGATCACATTGTTAATCACTACATTTTTTATTACACAATGTGTCAAATTAACTAGAAATGAGATTGAATAATTTCAGTGAGATAAAAGAGGACTAACCGTCTCAGATATGACTGAACTGGTAGCTTCAATACCTGATTGGAGCACTGAAGATAACTGCCAAGTGAGTTCAGAGATAATATCAGGAGCTCCAGCTGTTGTGTCTAAAATTTTTTCCAGTTTATCACCAAGCTCTTTAGCACCATTATCTAATGCTAAACGTTCTGCTAGACGAAAATCATCAGACAGAAACTCTTCAAATGGTTCGAATGGACCGACTATCTGAAATTAAATAATGAAAATATAGTATGATATTAATTATTAGCATCTCAATCTCTCGATTCAATACCTCGTTTCTTCAGGGAATGTGTGAAGAGAAAAACACATCAACACTTAAGGTGCTCCATATGATTTCAGTAGTAATTACCGTCGTGATAGGTCGTAAGCTTGTTATAAGAAGTTTGTGTGCGTGTGAAAACCCCTTGCCATGCAAACATTCCAGGTCGCAGCATTTCTTTGTTGCCCTTTACATTTAACGCTACTTCTCAAGCTATCGGTATCATATTCATTTTCGGATTTATTTGTAGTTATTATCGTTTTATAGTCTACAGATTTTGATCTTCAACCACCTTGTTGGAGATTTTACTGTGTTTACTCTCGTTCTATAGTAACATTCTTTTTTAGCACCTACATACACCTGTTACCCCTCGTGGAGGAGCATAGGCCGCCCACCAGCATTCTCCATTCAACCCTATTCTGGGCAATATTTTCCAGTTCTTCCCAGTTGGTATTCATCCTTTTTTAGCACCTACCATATTGGAATACCATGCTTTGATTACTGTTGCGTGGATTGACTGATCTTTATCCCTATCAACGAAATGGAAATGAGTTCTCTGTTTGTTAGAGATGTTTATTATTACTAATACTTGATGATTGGTTGCATGATTTCAAATAGTATTTATTATCTTATAGTTTGACTGATCACAACCTATGGAGCAAATTGATTCCTTCTCTTTCTCGAACGGAACATCATTTCTTGCACAGTGGGAGCATGCCCCCGAATGCCATGGTAAAGCCAAGGGCAGTATCACAGCTCACACACAAATCAGGTGAGTTGTGCGGCGTATATGTACTCGGTGTCCCTTTGTACCAATATGTATGTATTCAAATCAATCAATAAATAAATAAACAGTGGGAACACATTTTTCTAGATGACAAGCAATCAGTTCATATTCTTAATAATTTAAGCCCTTAATTTCTTACAGTTCGATCATACAAGGTGTTGTAATAATTAGTTACTGTAATTGCTGGAGAAAGTATTTTTCAGATATATTTTATTTTGTATCTGTCCTTGCTGTGACCAACACTGTTTACGTACGCTATTGTATTATTTTGTACGCCATTATACGTCATTATTGACAAATATCCATTTAAACTAAGTAGTGGGCAACCGAAGAATTTCATGGAATAAAACTGCTTGGATTCTTAAACTTCTGTTACACACATTAGGAAGTTAATATGTACATGATTTAATTAGGTAAACCAAAATGCAAAACAGAAAAACTGAATAACAATACACGTAAAATTGGAAAACATATAAATGGTCCAGAAATTTGAGTAAGTCACTGAGTTCAAATGTTTAGAACATAAAAGAGTGTCAATTGCTTTAAACTTCTGATATGAACTTGAAAATTTGGAAATTTGATAGTAAAATAAACAGACTAATGATATAAGTATTCATTTAAACCGACATTTTTTGTCTGGTGATTGTAAACAATCATCGACAGATAGTATTGAAAACGTTTTCAATGGTGGATCAGAAATTGCAATAAGTTTGACTTTTAAATATCAGATTTTCTAATTTAAATCTTGTTCCATATACATCAATCCGGGCAACTAAATAATAATAATAGTAGGGAGCTGGTGCTCTGTCAAGCCCATATAGGTTATTCTAGCCTCTGAACAGACCAATCTATTCATTCTTCTCAAGTCACATTCTTACCTTGTTACTTATTTGCTTATTAACCCTGAATGCCTTTATTTGAGTGTGTGTTGATTACCTTACTCATTATATGTCAAATGGAGTTGGCTCATACGCCTTCTTCACCGAGCGTCAATTAGTTTCGCATCGCTTCGTCTTCCTAATTGTCTGTTCCGACCAACGATTGTATGAAATATAAGTATTCGAAATCCGTTTTCGTATTTGACTTTTTTAATTCCGTTATTTACTAACGCAATTTTAGTTGATAATTATATATGAGAGCAGCCAGGATGTATATTTCGATAACAATCATCATTCGTACAGTCCAACTGGGCCACAAAAATAGTATCACTAGCTCACACTTGAAGAGTTGAACTTAAAGTAGAGTCTGTACATGAACCTATACTTGGTAAATGAATCATATTAAATTAAAAATAATATACTAAATTTACAATTTATGAAAATTTATCAAATGGAATTTTAAAACTTACTTTACCATTCACAACAACAGCTCGTTCACCGGGTTTCAGACCAATAATCTGACAGGCAATAGTTGAGTGCATTTGCATAAAACTATTTCTATCAAATAATTGAATAGCATCATGTATCTGTTTGGAATCCATGCCCTAAAAAACACATGATAAAAATAGACATAAGTGAAATCTGAATTTTCAAAGAATCTAATGAAAATACTTGATCGCTGAAGCCTACCATTTTAAAGATCAATATAATTCAATTGGCAAAATGGTAATATTACAGTGTATACCTGGTTAACATTGATGAGTTAGTGGCTAACGAAATATTGACAAAAACAGCAGAATTTGTTGAACATTTTCCAACTTCCATCAACTATGATACGAGGTAATGATGTATTATTATTGTTATTTGAACAGATAAACATTGGTACAAGAGGGCATTAAATACATATATGCCACAAAATAACAATGAGGCCAGTGGTAGTGATCATTTATTTGTGTATGAGCTGTGATACTGCCCGGGTGCCCAAACTGAAGCAGTTGGTTTTCGTAGGGGGCCAACCTCCGAGCCATTGACCGAGAGGTCTAATCCACAAGACAGTGGAGCAACTTCAAGAGATGGAGTTCTATGGTATCCGGTGTCCAACGATGGCTTCATACTCCATTTGTTCCTTCAGGATTCCGTAGCTCATGTGCACCATTGGTTTTCAACCAGAGTTTCCCAACTCCCCTAAGCTGACCCTCCATGTCCACAAACCTGATTGAAGCTCCGGACATTCGCCTTTCGTTCGCTTAATTTCTTAAACAACACCACATCCACGAGAAGGTGGTGAGTAGGACTTCCGTGATAGTGTCTTTATACTTGTGGCCATATGAGAGCATTTCGAGAGGGAGAGCTGATTCCCCCTACCCTCGGCTGTACCACTGCATTTGGTGGCTTTTTGTCAATTGAAAAGATAATATTCTATGCTCCATTCCACTGTGTTAATTTACAGGTGTAAAACAGGTTCTCCATACATAGGATAAAGATGAAAATCGCTAGTATTTAATTATAGATATCATTGAATAGTTGGCCATGAATATTGAGACTATAGAATAAGTAATATTGATGTTAGGCGTCAGGTACTAGGTAGATATGGAAGATAGATTGATCAGATTGACAAAGTTTATCGGCTAAGGTAACTAAGTATGTATAACACATGTTCTAGTCGTCGTCTACTTCAATATAATATATGTTGGTTAGTAATGGAGTTATTAGTTAAAAAACGGGGAGTGTGGCTAGATTATAATATGATATCCTTACACAAAGACAATCGATTCTTATCTCTTTTCTTTTCTTCTTAATATAGAGTTTTGGTAATGTTCATTTGTTTTCCTTAGAATTGTGCTTTCTAAACTAGTATCGTTCACATTATCATTGGAGTTCTCTAGTTTTCTATCATCTTAATTTTTTCAGTCACTGTACTGATGATATAATTATGTTGAAATTAAGTCTATGAACATTTCTACAAGTCACTATATTTCTACCAAATATAATGAAAACAATAAATAAAAAAATTATTAACCATAAAATAATAACGGGGAACAATGGGAGATGAAGACGCAAAAAATAACTCACTGAAACTAAAAGTTCTTCTAAAGATTTCATAGGTTTAGAAGTTTTGATTGATTCCAATATTTCCTTGATAAGACGTATAGCAAAATTACGTCCTGACATTTGTTCAGCATATTTTCGTTTTGCTATTATTTCATTATTCAGTTGATTAGATAATGGTGATGTTATATTGATTGGATTACCAACAAGATAAAGTACACGTGTTAACCAATGATCAGTTGATTTCTTTTCTTCTTTAGTTATTTTTAATGGGTTATATACGAAACCAATACGTAAACCTTTTGTAGAATGAGCGCTACGTAGAAATGTTAATGCATTTAGAGCTAAATTGCAATCCATTTGAAGTTGGAGACGATATTCTTCAGGTAGATTTGAATCGAGAATTTGATCCAAATCACCGATAACTATCCACATTGTAACTGGTCGAATAGATGCCTCTAAATCTTGAAAAATAATGATAGCAATTATCTTCTTTAAGAGAAAACCAGTATGAGTCTTCTGAGAAAATAACAGCTAGACGAATATTATCAGCTGATAGAATAATAGACGTAACTCACCAAGTATGGGTCTGTGTAGTCAGTGTTGAGCATCCTATTTTGTTTGAAGGGTAGTGTTAGGGACGTTAGATCCACAGAACTCACTTGGAAAAGGTCCTAATTTTGTAACTTTATTCTGAAAGTTTGAATTTTATGTTTTCGCACCAAGAAACGCTTAATTGACATACAGCTTACATTTCTCACTCGGAAATCCTTGACTTTCATTGGTTGACGGATATTTTTAGTACGCTATTTTGTGGCGCTCCCAAGGGCGTTTCTATCATTGTATAAATAAGCTTGATTTGTGTGTTTAGTGACCTCGTATTTTCTGGGTGCTTGTAGAATACATTTTCTACGTCTCATCAAGACTTCTTGATCTAGTTAGCACGGCAGGGGACAATGGATTAGAATTAGCCTATCGTGTCACTGTGTCATTGACCTTCATTCCGTTTACCGAGTAAGGTGAACTCGTAATAGCGATAAGCATATCAGGTAGTGAAACTACTCTATTAGCAAGATTGAGGTACATAAAACAAAGTTTTAGCCTAAAGCTTAATGCATGAAAGTAGAATGCTCTAAACACTGTTCAGTTGGCAGGTACAAAATGACATATTTTGATTATCACATTCTTGAACGAGGCATAGACCACAGTAAAGGATTCTAACTAATAACGACCGATGAGCAACAAAAATTGTTGCCACTAATTACTCTTAATCTATACCAATAAAACACACTACATACGACCATAAATTAAAATGTGGGAAGAAAAGTGACTCAATGATGTACTTCTAGACACTAAGTCACAGGTTTCACTTCAATCTGGTCCGACCGTAGCTGCTACCTTGACGCGAAGTCTGGATTTGCGTATTGTGATGACTTGAGCTATTTTGGCTGGAACATTCGTTTTTTCATGTCTTACCACGTTAGACAAATCGGTTGGAAGACCGTAAAACTAAAAGTACGAAATTCGCAACTCGAAGGTAAAGTCGTACTACTGACAATAAGGAGTTCCCCTCAGGTGATTGGAATTTGCAGCTATCCTGTCTTCCCACAACGGGAGGAGGAAGTTTGAAAAGTTCGAGCCTAAAAGCAACACATTTCATCTTGCCCAAAGGATTTCCGTAATGTTTTCCATAAAGTTTTAAAATAACAGCGCTACACACTTAAAACTACTAAAAAAGATCATATGTAATCTACCTCAAGAAATCGTCCCCTAAGCACCGTGGTCACGATCCAAGGTCATCAAGACCATTCCTAGCTCAGTCCACTAATCTAAGAACCTCAAGTAGTATCCTTTCACGGTATGGGTAACCAAGAAACAGTAATCATTCTTACGCCTCTAACAGCAAACAGGACTGACTTTGGTTTAGGAAACCGGGTAGCATTATAAAACTTTACACTTAAAGTACCGTTTGAAACCAAGTACAGAAATCTGTAACTGATAAGTGAATTAATTAAAATAAATGAAGGAGTTTCCAGTGTTTATACGCGAGTGATTAACTAGTAAAAACAAATTTTATGGTGAGAATTAATTCTCTGTCCTTCTAAGTAAAAAGGATAGTGTTTCACTTAAAACAGAAAGTTATACATTTGACTCGAAGATAAATTTCATGACTGACTGGTATAAAGTATATCGCGAATCGTCTTCTGTTTGAAAAATACATAAATAGACTACTGGAGTCGAACTCGATAGTTCAGTAGAATATCATGTTCACTGTGGAAAAAAAATTGAAGATCCCCAGTTTGATCCAATGTAGAGTATGGGCACATGCTATTAAGAATTTCTGTCAATCTAGTTAAAATCAATTGTTGAATGAATCTGCTGTCTTGAATGATTGGTATGTCATCAAACCATAAAAGAAACTAACCTCAAAATGAACAACCCTCTTAAGCACAAACCACGTGACAGAATATATTTAATTGTCAAACATTTTCATCATACACCTATTTTAAATAGTATTTATCAAAAAATTATAAAGTCTACAAATATAAACCCCAAAGTCACAATAGTGGTGTGGTGTGAGCTACTTATATTGACATAAGTAGTATATAACTTGAGAGATAGAATATCTGGCAGCAGAAGATTGAAAATATCCAGAAGCGAAGAACAGAAACAGAAAGCAATTTGTTTGGAAATCCAAGAACAATGAAGCCTGAGACAATTAACGGACACTTTGCAAATGAAGTATCAGAGCATGGTTTTTCTATCTTATCAACCAACTTTGTAAGTTTTGCTAAATACATAATCGGTTGTCCTCACCTATGTTCTCATTCACTACAGTAGGACTTAGGTTTCCGTATAAACTTGGAAATTTCTAAACTTTTGTAAAGCTGACGAAGTGGATATTATTTCCGTCGTATATATAATTTCCATTTATAAATCAGAATAATAACAAACAGGCGGACAAATGAAGCATAAAGAAAAAAGCTACTTACATCCACCTTACCTCCTTTTTGAAAATAGCGCATTTGGTCCATAAAAGATTTTAGCAACTGTGACGTGGGTAGTACATTCTCATCGGCTAGTGTGTTTGTGTGTATATAGATGAAAATGAAAACGAAGAGAAGACAAAATGAACAAATGAGGAAAAAAAGGAATATATGTCACTTATACATACATGGAAGTATGTTTTTTTTCAAGTTTATTATATGAACATAAGCGATTGAAATTTATATGCTGAACTGAATGAGAAATTCTATCCATCATCTTTAATCCTACACCTACGATGAAGAACAATTTAGACTTCCACAAACAACAGCTGCATTCCATAAGGACCAGTCGTGCACAGACCAGATCGCCACACTACGGATCATTGTTGAACAATCAATTGTATGGAAATCGTCACAATACATCAACTTCCTTGACTATAAGAAAGCGTTTGACAATGTAGATAGGAGAACCTTATGAAGGCTTCTTCGATAATAAGGTGTACAGGAGAAGATGATCAACATCATATGGAATTTGTACGACGGACTACAGTGCAAAGTGGTGCATGGAGAACAGCTGACAGATGCATCCCAAGTGAAGATCGGTGTTAGACAAGGCTGTTTACTCTCTCCTTTTCTCTTTTTTCTGGTGGTTGACTGGATTATGAAGACCTCTACATCTGAGAAAAAGCGCGGAATACAATGGAGAGCAAGGATACAACTGGACGATTAGGATTTCAGAGATGACCTAGCTCCTCTATCTCATACACAGGAACGATTACACGTTAAGACAGTCAGTGTAGCAGAAACCTCTGCAGTAGTAGGCTTCAAGATACAAGAGGGAAAATGCAAGATCCTCAAATACGACACGGAGAACACCAACCAAATCACAATGAAGAACATATGGAACTAAAAACAACTGTCAACCAATATCGAAATCCCAATCTTCAATACGTACGTCAACACAGTTCTACCGTACGAAACTGAAATTTTGAGAACTACTACAATAATCATCAAAAGAGTACAAGAATTTATAAACAATGATCTACTCAAGATATTCAACGTCCGTTGACCGGATAACATTAGACACATCCTATTGTGGGAGAGAAAAAACCAATTTCCAGCTGGAGAGGAAATTAGGAAAATACGTTGGAGGTGGATATGACATACATAGTGGTATACATCAAACTGTATTATAAGGCAAGCACTAACTTGGAATCCTAAAGGGGGACGAAAAAGAGGAAGACCAATGAACACATTGCGTTTAGGATTGGAAGCAGATATCAGAAGAATGAATAGCGATTGGAAACAACTGGAGAGGATTGTCCAGGACAGAGTTGGATATAGAATGCTGGTGAACAACCTATGCTCCTCCACGAGGGGTAACAGGCTTAAGTAAGTAGCGATTGAAAACCAGGGGATGTTGGAGAGTTTTCTCGTTCCATAAGGAGACTTGTCAGCAGTGTGTATCCATAATCCCATCAGGAACCAAACCTAGGACCCACAGGCCTTGAACCAAATATAGTGCCTTAAGATTATTGTAGCTTTCATGTACAACTCGACATACTTTGGGATATTATACAATCATTCACTGCCATTGGAGATAATCGTCTTACTATCGACATAATTGAACTATAGTGTTTACGGCTTCTCATTGGAACTTTGTGAATTCTTTTCAAACTTATTCACTAATAAACAATTAAAATATTAATCAAATAAAAACAATGTTTTTCAAGAGAATTACACATACATATGCCCATTGGTATAGAATATCCATTGAAGTTGATGTACTTCGGTGAATTAAGAGGTCCTTGATTTGAATTATCCTTCTTTTTATTTAATAATCGTACATTAAATCGTGGAACAATAGTTGCTGTCTTTTGATATAAATCAAATATTGTCTGAGAATTACTCAATTGACCTTGAAATACAGCTGACTGTACGTGCATTAATTCTTCCATGGACAGAGTAACAACAGTATCTTCGAAACCACCAATTTTTTTAATCCCATCATTATCTAATATAATTCCGTTAAAAAGTATTAGTGGAATCTTCTTGATTGACTGGAGTCCAGAACGAATAAGAAATTCATGGTGGGACTAAAATTTAAATTTTTAAAAAACCCAATCATAACACTATTTGGTTCGCAGTGTGTTAATTACAATAAAATACTAAACATAGAAAATATAGAAGGAATATATAGAAGGAAGTAAATAAAATCGAGGAATCGGAAGTATGAAACAACATTACGGATCAACAACTAATTTGAAATCATATCACCTAAGGTATTGCGCAGAATCCAACCAGGAAGTCCGCATCTATCAATACGAACAGTCAGTAATCCCATAACTTGTAATCTAAAAAAGATAACATGTCAACGTAGGCGATGTTCGGGATGTGTAACATCATAAAATTTGCTATCTAATCAACTACTTGAAGTTTATGCGCTCATAAATGGGTAGGGGAAATGAAACTTAGGGAGAATTGTTTATTGCGTGACGAATACCACAAAACTATTCACATATATGAAATCGTACAATTTAGAAAGATGAAATGTCATCGTTGAGAAGCCTGTCTTTAATCGCTTAGTACTCAAAAGATACAATAACGCGAAAATTAAAGTTTGATAGAGAATCAGTGTATTCTCATTTTGTTTCAACAACAAATGAACCTAAAAAGCTACATGTGGAAACCAAAGGAACTACGCTAAGTAAATGGAAATAGGCATATTTTCAGATTGATGAACATATACCAAAGAATCTAATACTGAAGGAAATCTAATTTTTTATTTAGTCATTTGTCTAACATAAGACACAATGTGAATATTTTTTTAAGTAACTAAAATGCTGAAAAACTATCCTAGTGAAAATGTATAAACGTTCTCACTCTTAATATACCCAGTTTCTTATCTAACCAATAAAATCAAGACAAGTGACAGACAAATATTTTAGATGACCACTCCCATCTCAATGCACTAGTTTCTGAAAAGACTACTTATTTGACTGCTACCTAGACTGAATAGTCTTTTCTTTTTATAATAAATTAGATTAATGTTAATAAAATGTTAGGTAATCTGTAAGAATATTCCTTTTTTAGTAAATATTTGTATCAAGGTTAACTTGTTATCATTATTATTTAATTTGTTAATCAGGCACAGGTTCGCATACTTGACTTTGAGTCACACTCCAAATGTGAGGACTACTGATTTTACTAGGCTTCTTTAGCTCAAACACATGGAGGGCCAAATGAACCCATGATTTGGTGGTTAAGTCTTGATCCATCACCAGCTGAGGTGATCGCATCTGCTGGGATAACCGGGTAAGTAATAGTGAGGTTCAGATACAGGATATTAGGGAATGATGGTAAATCAGTTGATGAGGTCATGAATCTATATCGACTGAGATGGTTGGGAGACGTGTTACATATGCCTGAACACCAATTACCACGATGTGCAATGTTGACTAGTGTAGGGGATGGTTGGAAAAGAGTTTGGGGCGGTCAAACCAAAACGTGATATCAGTGCTTGAAGTCACTAACTTCTAGTTTGAGCCATGTTGGTAGATGCAGACTACCTGTTTGGGGTCCGCGTGACTATCGTAACCAATGGTTGGAGACTCTAGGTGACATGGTTCAGAATCGATCACAATGGTGTAGGTGTATACACTCTTTATCTTCCCTTAAACCTTGATATTAAAATTGCTTTATAACGTTCTTTCTTCCTATACTATATTCTTATATACAACCTATCTTTTATATACTACCACCACTAAATTAACTATTTCTATGAATCCGGTGTTCATCTTGTTGTGCTAACGAGGTATGGCAACTTGGACCGATGTATAAATGTGCCTGGTCTTACGTTGTAGTTGGCTGACTGATTGAGCTGAGGTATCGCTTTACTTACTCGTATAAGACTAACCAATGTATTATTAAAGATCCTCATCGTAAAATTAGAACAACACACATAAGGGAACAATGTTGTTTCAATTAGATTTTCATTAGGCTTTACTCTAATATACAGATATATTTATATGGATATGCGAAAATATTAAACTAATCAAGGCAATTTATCAGTCAGTGATAAGAACGAAATAGATTAGATTAACACAAAAATAAGTGAAAAGTACAAGTGTACACCAGTAATTAACTTTCACCAGTGAGGACAAATGTGACGATAAATAAAATTTCCTGCACATCACATTAAGTAGACGGGATGACGACTCGTTAAGTACAAGCGTGTATAGTAAGAGCTGCTTTGCTTTTCAATACAAACTTCTATAGTTTTACACCCTCTACAAAAGAAATATAGTTCGATGTCTCAAAAGCAGAGCAAAAAAGTTCTGCTCAGATGATATCACACGTAAGAAGTTGGTGTTTATTAATAACATACTGACGAAGATCAGCTATCTGAGAATTTTTTGTGAAGAGAAAAAAGTTGGAAATATCGACTACTCGTAAAAAACTCCTATTTCCAAAACTACAATTCAACGGGGCGTGGCTAATAATATCCTGTACGGTAGATTAGCAAAGACAGTTAATGGGACATTCTACGCCTTGCTTCGACATTTTCTAGTAGATCATTAATATTCATCCAAACAAAGGGTAAATTACCTGAGTTTGTCTCCTCAATATGCATCTACAAATTGAGCTGCTCTTGCACAGGTTGCTATATTGGGCGTACTAGCAGGGAGCTTTACCAACAAATTAGTAAACACCTCTCAGCTTGCTTTGAAAAGGGCTAGGTTAGACAAAGACAATACGTGACTCTACCGTGACAAGCTTGGTTGACTTTGGTCATATTGTAGATAACGCAAAATCATTTTGAGTAATATATCGTATAACCTTGGAATTCGATCCCGTCTCCTGGATAAATTAGAAGCTATAGGGATCCAAACCTATAACCCTAATTTATATACTCAGAGGAAATTCGTGATGCTTCTGTCTCGGTCATTACACCTGTCTAATTATCATTAATTTTTATTTTTTATCTATTGTGTATAGTTTTGTAATATATTTCACTGTGGTCACTGACTGATAAATTACCTTGACTATTATGATATTTTCATATATCCATATCAATATTACTGTATTTTAGAGTAAAGCTTAATGATAATTCGCTTAAATCTGCATTTTTTCTAACCAACATTCTAACCGATAAGCACTGAAGAAAAACACGATAATTAATAGAAAGCAAAAGAATAACCAATAAGCTTACATTAACTTCCTTATCATAATCACTATTACCAGATTCCGGTGTAAATATATCATCAGAATCAGCGGTTGGAAATAATTTCTCAAATTTTCGTTTAATTAAATCAATACTTAATTCACTATTTGATTTTTCAGCATTAGCATAAATTTCTGTTAAAAATGACAATGCTGCCATAGGACCAGGTGATCCTAAACCATTGATTTGAACAGGAAATGGTGATTCATGTGAATTCATTATAGTAGATGATATATATGAAAATATACGGGTTAATATAAGACTAGTTGAATTTAATTTAGGATTTACTGCCCAGATAATACCAAAACTAAAAAGAGATAGTTTGAAAGAAAACAAAGAAAGAGTATCATCGAAGACAAATAATTGTGCAAAAAAAGATACAATAAAGCATCAATATAGAAAAATTTGTGTGATATATTAACGAATAAATGGGTACCAAAACAATAGGCGATATTGAACAAATGAGGTAAACAAATTATTATCATGGATTAAGCCATCTTGACAACTTATCAATGATTTCAACCATACTTAAATTCATCAGCTTAACATAGGAGAACTGTTATAAGATAACATTCTATATATATATAGACTCTGTCAGGGAAGTCCTACTCACTGCCATCTCGTGGCACCAGTGTTGTTTACTAAATTGAGAGGACGAAAAGCGAATGTCCAGAACTTAAACCGGGTTGGTGAACACGGTGAGTTCACCTAGGGGAGTTGGAAAACCCTCATTCCAAACCAATGGTTCACATGGAATCCAGTATCCTGAGGGAACAAATGGCGTATGGATCAATCGTTGGTCACCGGCTACCATGGGACTGCATCTCCTTACGATGTTCCACCGCCTTGTGCATCAGATCTTTAGGTCAAAGACTCCGGGTGTGGTCCCCTAAGAAAACCGCCTGCTTCGGTTTGGGCACCTGGACAGTATCACAGCCCTCACACAAACCAAATGAGATTTGTGCGCTGCATATGTATCTGGTGCCTCTTTGTACCAATATTTATGTGTTCAAATAATAAATAATATTCTCCCATCTAATTTATCCACAATCATTCGAACAGTGAATCGGAGATCAGAAAATACAAAATATTTCACATATACACCTTCACAAAAACAGCTTACAACATTTTATAAAATTCCTTAGACTTGTTGTTAAGTCAAAACTTTATTAAGTGGCTCAGTTGACATGTATCATCCTCACAATTTGAATCGCAAATGGAAAATACAAAAAAAAGTGTATGGAACATAACTTACCGTACTGGGGTCATATGAAGAAGAAATGATTCTGTCAATTTTAACATTTCACGACTTTCAAATGAAACGGGATCAATTATCAGAATAACATTATACAAATTTTTACGTATTCTACGTAGACCACCAGAAAAATCAAAATTGAATAATGTATGCAGAGAAGATGGCCAATAAGCATAGGCTGGATCAGTTTCTAAATTATTTATATAAATAATTGGTGCATTGGATAAATCCAGTACAAATTGATTAGATATACTATGTCTTGAACCTGGTAAATTTGGATCATTTTTATTGGTAGCAGAACCGCTAGAAGAACCATATTCAATGATTAGCTGTGAAATATTAGAACCCTGAAAAACAAGAAAACAGTAAATATTATTATGAATAAATTGTGCAAATGTTAAGTGAAGACAATTGGTGAACGGTTGCTCAAAATCGTGGATTGGTTGAAGTTAGACATTAACACCGTTGGATGCTGGCTCAGTGGCCTATAGGTTAAGTGCTCTGACGCGAGACTGGTAGGTCTTGGGTTCGAATCTTGCGAGTGCGGGATCGTGGATGCGCACTGCTGAAGAATCCCATAATAGGACGAAACGGCTATCTAGTGCTTCCAGTTTTTCTATGATGGTCTAGCTTCAATTGACCCATGATTTCAACTATGAAAATCAAAAAGTCTTGAGAAAAATAAGATAATCAACTGTCAAATGGGATTATTTCAAGTATATTAGCTTAAATGTTGTTCTTTACATTAGAGAAATCTAATAGAGAACTGTTGAGAACCACAGAACAGAAGGCATATATTTCATTCTTGATATATTACTCTTTCCATTTAGTACAGTACATACTAATCACTAGCTTTATGATCGATATGAACTCTCTACAACTTAACAATATGAAAAGTAACAATATTTTTAACATTTGATAATGATAATCACAAAAAATGATGAAAAGCGGTTTTCTTTAAAAAGCTTTTATTTACTACAGAACACGTCTATACACACAGCTTCCATATGATCTGAGAAAGCGTAAGACAAATCAATGTATCTATCGATGATGTAAGCAAAAACACTGCTGGACTTGAATAAATTTGCAAATAACCTAATAATATTTACATCCTATATAAAGAATTCAGAATGCATATAAGTTAAATTAACAAACTAATGTAATACGGAGTGATAAATTGATATTGTCACACATAAATACATTCTATATACTTTTTCAGACCCCCTATTTGAGATCCATCCAAGAGCGGATTCATACTGCCGACTGTAGAAGGGTGTGGCAGCAGTAAGGTGTTTCCTCCAGACAACCAGCATCTTTAGCGATGTTGCCTTCTCACAATAAAAGAAAGATGCAATAAAAGTTCTACCGTAAAAATTTCACACCTCAAAAATTTCCGTCTCCGGCGGTGAGGTCTTTTGAAATATAGAGATAACACATCAAAAATCTACCATAAGGTCATGTGTAACCGACCTCAAAGAGTTGACCCTTCAACTTTGTGGTCACACTCCCGGGTTACTAATACCACCAATAACCCAGTTTCTTTTTCAGGTCTCTCAAGAAGAAATTTTCTTTCACAGTATGGGCAACGAGGAAGTGATCACTACCCTTATACTTCTAACAGCATCCGAGATCGTTTAGTTTGGAACCCATTAATTGTAACAACGTTTGCATTAGATCCTACGTTAGCTACGATTGACTGACTGACTGAATAGCTCATAGAACTTAAAAATTAGTAACAAATGAAGGTAAGAACTGAATCAATAAACTTGTTCAACAGTTGACTATCATAAGTAGTGAAGATAGGTGAAGTATAAGATGAAGATATTCTTTAATAAATATGAAATTAAAGACTGGATTATACGTATGAAATAACAACTAGTACTTAATACTTACTGGTATGCCTAAATCATGTAGTTGTGTCATCATTTTAGACTCTTGACGTATAACATCCAATAAAGCAAATATATCAACAGAAGGTGAAAGTAAAATACCATTTAGAAGAAGTAAACTTTGACCAGGTTGTATACCGTATGTTCCAGTTAGAATGTGTTGATTTTTACTTGACTCTGTACGAAGACTTGAATTAACATTTACATTGACAAGACGGCTAGATGTGAGCAAAAATAATGAATATTATATGGTATAAATATAAATTTAGAATGTTCAAATCAAGGATAATGAATGGCAAAACTAATTAAATGGAAGAAAAACAATTTTATCCAATAAACTGTCAGTCAGCTACAACGTAGGACCAGGCACATTTATGCATCGCTACAAGTTGCCATACCTCGTTAGCACAACAAGATGAACACCGGATTCATAGAAATAGTTAATTTAGTGGTGGTAGTATATAAAAGATAGGTTGTATATAAGAATATAGTATAGGAAGAAAGAACGTTATAAAGCAATTTTAATATCAAGGTTTAAGGGAAGATAAAGAGTGTATACACCTACACCATTGTGATCGATTCTGAGCCATGTCACACAGAGTCTCCAACCATTGGTTACGATAGTCACGCGGACCCCAAACAGGTAGTCTGCATCTACCAACATGGCTCAAACTAGAAGTTAGTGAATTCAAGAACTCTTTTCTAACCATCCCCTACACTAGTCAACATTGCACATCGTGGTAATTGGTGTTCAGGCATACGTAACACGCGGCCCAACGATCTCAGTCGATGAAGATTCATAACCTCATCAACTGATTTACAATCATTCCCTAATATCCTGTATCTAAACCTCACTATTACTTACCCGGTTATCCCAGCAGATGCGAGCAATATTTCTAAGACATCTGTGGTCAAATACTAGTAACTTACGAGTATCTTATACTCTTACTGGCCATGTTTCACAGCCGGAAAGTAGAACAGAGCGAACTGTTGCGCAGTATACTCGTCCCTTAATTGATAGACGGATATCTCGTCTTCGCCATAGGTGACGTAAGTTGGCAAAAGCCAAACGAGTATTTTGAAACCGTGCTGAGATTTCGTCAGACACCAACCCATCAGGGCTGATCAGACTTCCAAGATAAGTGAATTTATCGACGCGTTCGTCGAGAAGTGTATGACCAAATTTATCCTATTGAATAAAATAGGTAATAGAATTTACTAAGAGAATTCATTTGATTACGTTATAAATATTTCTATCATAATTAAAATAGAGACGATGAACTGTAAGGTCAGACTTAATGTAAGTATGATGCCGCTAGAATTCTATAGAACTCGTAAAGTTCATGAAAACACAACTATTTTACGGTGATGGATAGGTGGAAGTTACATAAGCTTACAAGGTACACAAATATACTAATTAACTTCCTCAATCGTCTCAGAGACTTCTAATTTAACAGGCTAAAACTTATTATAATAAGACCATCAAAAAAAGATTTTTAAATCGATCCAGATGATATAGTTTCTAATCAGTATTAACATATAGTTGGTTTTGCTTATAATGATTGTTCCTGATCAAGCTGTTTGTTAAGTGTGACAGCGTGAAACAATAAACTTTTGTATCAAACCTTAAGATGTTTATAACTAGTTACCTTGAATTTGGACACAGAATTATATTTAATTGATTTTCGTGCAATTATTTAGGTGAGGACCCGGGAACCTATTTTAAAGCTTTTTCAGAAAGACTTCGTAGAAGATACCGAATGTTAATGCAATCATTTTGAAAATAATAGTGAATGTGAAGTAGCTATGTACTAGCACGAGGTTTGTGTCATTTGGCATAGTTTGTTCTATTAACATACAGATAAATTGATAGTTTTCATAACCTTGAAGCTTAAAACTTCTGTACATGTTACTACAATGCTGATCTTATTTGAGTCATGGAGAAATGCAACCAATAAATAATTCTTGCATGATGACGATAAATCATGTCTGTTTGTTTACAAAATAAAGTCCTGAATTTCCTGAAGTAAAAAGCACAACATTCATAGATGCCATTGAATATACTGAACAGATACTTTATTTTATTTACTGACAGCAAAACAAGTTGCAAACAAGCATCGACTGTGGCCATCTTGTTTCTCCAACAGTACACAAAAGATAAATTTAAGCAAGTAAATTAATTAATAAAGATTTAAATTCCAACAATTGTAAACGTATGATGAAAGTTGCTAGGAAAAGCAAAGGAATAGTGATAAATCTGTTTATTTTATTTATATGAACACATAGCCCCCAAGTGCCCTGGTACGGCCGAGAGTGGGGAGATTCAGCTCTCCCTCTCCAAATGCTCTCACATGGTCACGCGTATATAGCCTCTGACAGGGAAGTCCTACTCACTGCCTTCTCGTGGCATTACTGTTGTTTAGAAAATTGAGAGGACGAAAAGCGAATGTCCAGAACTTAAACCGGGTTGGTGGACGTGGAAAGTCTACCTAGGGGAGTTGGAAAACCCTCATTCCAAACCAATGGTTCACATGGAATCCAGTATCCTGAGGGAACAAATGGCGTATGGATCAATCGTTGGTCACCGGCTACCATGGGATTGCATCTCCTCACGATGCTCCACCGCCTTGTGGATCAGATCTTTAGGTCAAAGGCTCGGGGTGTGGCCCCCTAAGAAAACCACCTGCTTCAGTTTGGGCACCTGGACAGTATCACAGCCCTCACACAAATCAAATGAGATTTGTGCGGCGCATATGTAGTCGGTGCCCCTTTGTACCAAAAGCAAAAGAATATTAATAAACTTGAGGGAGAAAAAATAAGAGCGCGAATAAATTAATATACGTTAGTTGATAAAAAAATTTCTGTTGATACAAGATTGCGTAATAAATAAGCTATGGACAATATTATCCAAGATTGACGTTAAACACTTATTTCAGTTGCCTAATAGAACCCTCATAAAGCCATGAAGCCCCGTAATAATCTATATTGATTTAAATAATGGTCGGTATATTTTAATCTGGCGACTTCCTAAACAATCTTTATCGAATTCCATCAACAATAAATTACTGAAGACAAGAGATGATTATTATTTTGTACTCTTGAAAATCTTGGAAAAGTTGTAACCGTTTGAGACAGAGTGAAATGAATGCAATGCATAAATAAACAAATAAAAAGTAAAAAGAAAAGGGACGAATTTTACAAAATAACCTTCTAGAACCAATTTTCAAGTTTAATTGTTGATAGTAAAACCTATTTGCAGAATAAAAACATAATATTAAACTGAGAATAAAACTTTTAAGATGCTGGACAAGATTTGTAGCTTGGGTGGATGATTTAGGTTGAGTTTTGTTCTCTGAGGTGGATGGTTTGGCTATGGAGCTAACATTGTTTTCTTTTGAGCAACATTATCGGCACGAAAGAATTAAATAACAGGGAGATACAATCATAATACAGAGGTAGACAATGACATGTTAAATGTCAACAATAACCAATCAAGATCGCAGTCAACAGGACAAAGTGTGAGTCATATGTGGAGAAATTCGAACAATTTACTCCTACCTGAAGTTTGTACTGATGCGGTTCGGAAGAGCAATGAAAGCTACACGACCAAACGACCCAACTTAGAGAACAAAACTCCACCTAAGAAAACAAAACGTCATCAGTGTTGAATTACCTCGCACGTGCTGGTAAATTTTGACTGATATCACGTAAACTCCATAAGCCTAAATTAATATACGACCCAATAAAACCTTCATGTTTCATATTTGATAAAAATCCATCCATAACTATTTGACAAGCCTGTAAGCTTAAATCACGAAATTGCCAAGCTTTCAATGGACGTAATTCATCATCTGTAGTTAATAAATGACTATGAAATTCATTGAGTTGTTTAGTTAACTCTGGATGAATATTTCGAAGTTGTGTAAAATTGAATCCTGCAACAATTGGTACATCAACAATTTTATCCGTTTCTTTTGATGATACATTATCTGATTCTGAAATAAAAAAATACATTATTATTAATATTAACTTAGTATCAATTACAGATTTATGTATTTGGGTTCAAGTCACACTCTATGCCTGCGAACTAGTGATATAGCCCAGTCGTCCAAGCCGAGGTAGAGGGAGTTTTTGAATATGTGATTTAGTGATTGAAAGTCAAATGGTTTGAACACTGTACCACTACTCCAACATATATATATATATAAATCATGGTAAAAATTACCACGACTGGCCAAACAAACGTAGGTGGAGAGCGGTTATAAACTGCAGCCCTACGCAGTTAAAGTAGATTGCTATGGTCACTGAATATTTCATACGAAACAAAAGTGACAGAAAACCTAGTAAGTTGTCAACGAACTACTTAGTGTAATTTTATGCGAGACAATAGGGATTAAATCTATTATAAAACAGAAAACGTTACATATCTGTAACATATTGGTAGTGATAATAAGTAATGACAACAATAAATAACGTAAATTCACTTCACATTACCGTTAAATAAGCAGTGAGGGACTTATAGTTTGTATAACACAATAACGATGAAACGTACCTTCTGATTTTGTATCATCCATAGCTTTATATTCAGTGCTTTTCAAAGCTAGTTCTACACCATAACCATTTAAACTTGTTTCACTAAAATCTCGGTTCTTTCAAAAGAAGGTTAGATGAATAAATAATAATAATAATAATAATAATAATAATAATAATAATAATAATAATAATAATAATGTTACGAAAACTAATGATGAAACTGAAACTTGTTAGACAAATATTGAATTTTTTCATCTGTCATATATCTGCCTACAAAAACTAAACAGACTGGGTTAGGTAAACTTAAGTTGATTTACCCCAGGAAGCGATAGTGCTCAGTATTGAATTTCACTCTAATGTATCATGAATAGGGATGATATACTACATAATAAAGTATGGCAACTGTACCACAATCGTACTACAGTTCAAGATTATCGTTTAGCATCCATTATCAATATAACTAACAGTAGAAGTATAACAAGGAAAGTAATGTAAATCAGCCAATTTGTACACTTACAGATACTAGGAGGTATGAATCATATTTGTTATTTTTGTTCGAGGGCTAGTGCTACCCAGACAGACCTATATACAGCAAAATTCTAATTAATCGGTTAGATCTCTCGACGTCTGGCTGCTAGGTGACAAGTTTGAATCTCAGCTTCTAACTACTTCGATTTGGGTAGCCGATTTGCAACACCACTAGCTTCCAAATGAAGTGTGGCTGAAAACCGAGTGCATAAAAATGTATTCGGTAATAGGGGAGAGATTACAAACCAAGAACTGAATGGTTGAAAGTTAACTATTTATGCCACTGTACAACATATCCATTATGACAGCGGAAAATTACCATTGATATACTCACCTGGAAATAATGTCTGAATGCATAATTACATAGACCATCATCAGACAATGCTTTTAAACTTCTATGCCATGAGTAAAATTCGTGATGACTTAAATCCCCATATAGAATTACTGTAGGAATGTTATTAGAAGTATCTTTTGGTGATGAATACACTTTTTCAAGTGGAAATAAAGCTTGAAAATAATAGACAATACAACAGATGATAAATGGTAAATGGTAGCCTACTGAATTTAATTATATGGTGAAATAAACGAAAGTATAATCGATAGACTCAGGTTAGTTTTTAGACTAAAGTCAATTATTTATGAAAAAACGATCACAAATGTTCGACAGAAGTGATCTTTGTTATTATTTGTAGATATTTTTTTCTCACAGTTGTCATTTAGGAGTGAATTTGACTAGTCCTTCTTGGCATGCTACGTTATTAGATGAATACCTCAATGTATTGACTGTAAAGTGTTTACTATACTTTCGGGTAGTGACTAGCAAAGTAACCATTGATGGGGCTATGATGACTCAGTATTTTGGTGAATAATATGCAGGTATTTGAAGTGATGGGTACTGGTGCTGGACTCAGTCATAGTGTGAACATCAACAATCGAGTTCAGGTAAATCTAGCTGGCGAGATTCAAATAGGACAAAAAGTGTCTTGGAGCACACTGCTAGTTATCAACTGAATGCAGATTATGAATCGTGGCATCGCCTCAAGCAGATCATAAGGCAATGAAGATTGATGAAATTCAGTCCCGAATATCAAGAACAAGAAAGCATAAATTTTCTTGAATAATAATGAACGTTTATTAGTTCAACCTCAATCAGTTTTTTCCTTCTGTACGCTTCTTCAATTTTGTTTCATTAGCTGATTCCTCTTTGTTGTGCTTTTGCATTTTCATTAACTTAAAATGATACGCTGCTATTGTGCAGACCACAAATGGTGACATGAACAAACAAAATAAATAGAGTGATCAGATCAAATTTAATCAATCATCATTCACATTAAACAACCAGAACGTTTGAAGTTGAACGCTAAGTGTTAAAAATTTCAAATGACAATGCTTAACTTTACTCATTCATACAAGTTGATGAGGAAGGTGTTGCTTTATGCTTGTGAAACTTAGCCTCATAGAATTGAGAATGCTCAGCGACTCTCTTTGTTCGATCATTGTTGTCTCCCAAAGATTGCTGACATCCAGTGACAAAACTATGCCAGTAATGCGGAGGTTCGTCAGCTTGTGTTAGGGCATAGCAACGATACTTCAATTGGTGTCACCATTCTGAAACACCGACTTCGGTGGCTTGGACATGTGCTACGAATGTTGTCCCAGAGAATTTCACATCTTGCATTATTTGCCGATGCTGGGAAGGCTTGGAAAAAGCGGAAAGGTAGTCAGTAAACGACATGGTGTCGTGAAGTGAAATAAATTTGTACAGAATTGACTCTTGTCGGTTTATCATGACTCATTCCTTGGGTTCCTATAAGTAGTTTAACATAATGGCTTAAAACATTATTAGACAACTCAGAACAGAAGCTAGTGGTAGTCCTAATGTAATTCTTTTGCTTTTCTCATAAAATTCAGAGGAACTTTTTAAACTGGAGGAACTCTTAAATGTACTTTTCTTAACTGAACTGCTTTTCCCATTATTTTTTACTCTCATTCACTCATTTTACTTTGTGTTTTTACTATACTCACCTTCCTTCCTCTTTCTCTTCACAATGTCACTAAGACCACAAATAATTCAAACATATAAACAATAAGTAAGACCAATCTTGTTTCTGATACATTATACATTGTTTAACAGATTAAAAAGGACTGAGTATATAAATTATACTTCTCAATTTTCCCTAATCGTATCAACTTACTTGGTTGTGAATTAGGATCTACAACTTTCTCAATAGATTCTTTGAGTTTGTCAATGGAAAAAACGGCATCTGACCCGGCAAGAACCCAAGCTACTCCGGAGGTTCGGCGTTTTAATTCAGATAGAACAGTCTCACGTGAGCAATTTAACAAATAACTTGCATCAGTCAGAGCAAGTTGATGGGACATTTCAACTGTGGGTGAAAACATTCTAGATGAGACGGACAAAGTAAACAGCCGATTATGGATTTCTAAAGAGCTATTATTTAAACTAGTAGCACTAATAGCCTGAATGGCAAGCTCTTTAACTCGTTTCTCCAACAATCTATTCTTAGATAGCAAAAGGTAATCATCTGCAGGAGGAATAAGATTTGTCCTTATGAAGTCCAAGTCCTTTGAAATAAGATCCAAAAATCTCCAAAATGCAGAGTTTGATTCACGAGCAACATATTCACTGAACGAGAAAAAACATAAGTCAGATAAATGTCATGTCTTACCAAAATACTTCAGAAATGGTAGAGATATATTAGTTTTTTATGCCTACATACCACTGAGTTAAAGTGCATGAATGTATATCGTTCCAGTGGCTTAGATAGACCCGAAATACAGCCCAGAATTTCTTCTGACGACAGCATACTTTCAAAAATATAAGTGTTTTGAGAAATACTGTTAAGTAGTGAGTGACAACAAAATAAGCATTAAATTTATGTATGCAAAGATAATCTAGTTAAAATTCAAGTAAACAAGTTACCTGGTTTCTGATAACAGAGGTGTATTTTTCCATTTTGGAACCAAAGTTACAGAAACTCTGTTATCACTCAAATATGTATCCAGAGAAGTAGAACATAGAACCAGAAAGGCCCAAAATGTGATCATTTTGCTAAAACAATAGGAGAGAATAAAGTTGAGTATTAAAAATCATCAATCGAAATTATGTTTATAGAAACATTAATATATTTGGTAGTATAACGGTAGATGAGAAAAAACAAACAGTACATATAAATATGCCCAAACAAAAAGCTGTGGTTAAATTGAGATTATTTACAGCTCTTAAACTTTGTATACATGGTGTTAATGCCACACAAGTGGAAACAAAAGGATAAAACTGTAATGTTCCTAAAAAAATGGAATCGAACTCAGTCTTCCACGTAATTAGAAGGAAAGTTAATAATCTGCTGAGGTTAACAATAAGCAACACTTTAATTAATTCGGATACAGTAGTTATTTTAGTGATCGGAAACAAAAATATAATTGCTAAACAAAAGCAAGAACACCACCAGAAAATTGATACAATGTGAATAAATAGATCCGAATTGAAAGAAAAAGAAAGATTAGCCAGATTGTTCTCAGTTTTTGGTTGCTCACTAAGCCAAGACACAAAAGCATTCAACAAAATAGACATAGAAAGTATCTTTTGAAGACTGAGACTGGGAACATTATGAATAACATGACGATACGCTTCAAGACGACCAATGAGAAGATCGATAATAACTAGAAACAAATCATATTCGATATATTTGTCAGAAACATTCCCACATCTAGGACAATGTTCAATCTTAATTACTTCCTCAGCATATTGGGTGTAAAGAGCAGCTACACGACTATTGCAGTAAATACAGTGATATGAATTTTCAGACATTATGTAATTTCATGGGATGATGAAATTAAAGGAAGTTGTATTCACATGGAAATCGAATTATGAACGACAACCTGTAAAAAAAACGTATTGCATCATAAATTTTCAAAGGCATCCACTAGATAGTTTTTTGAGATTGTCAGGATCATTTCACATTGAATTTATAAGGTAAATTGTTGATGATCCTTAAGAGAAAATCAAGATTTTCTTAGCTTATATTTACATTGATTCATAGACGACTAAGTGGTACATGTATTCTGATATATGTAACATAGTTTAACAATTGTTTTATAATACGGACACCAGTCCAACTGGATAAGGGCTTCACAAAATTTCGCTACGCCAGTTGACTAAGTTTAACTTAGGAGATTTATTTACCAAGTGCAGATTTATCTAATCAGCTTTTAGTTACGCTCTTATTCGCGTGTGGGTTAGGTAAAATATATTTTTGGATACTGTACAGGAAGTTCTGGATATAAACAGAAAATTAGACTCTACTGTTTATTAAGCCAAGGCTTGAGACTCTGTACAAGCCACTACTACCTAAAATATATTGGGTCAGAAAACTATTTTGTAATACATACTTTAACCACTGTTAGAAGTAAAATCATGGTGAAAGCTTCATTTGAATGAATCGGAAAGAGACTAAAGGATCATAGAATTGGATATTAAATACACTAAGTCCGAAAATCCCAAGAGTTGCCAGATAGGTTGATGAAAGTATAAGCTTTAACCGACTAAGGTGACTGGAATGTGTAACAAACATCCTGGTCATCCAGCTGTTCGCCCTTACCAGATGATCAGGGTCATATTTCTGTTTGATCTATCAAATTAGGTTGTGGTTTTAAAACTCTTACAGCACACATAGACATGAAGATCTTACTAATCAACAACGACGCAAGACACAGTTTCGAGTTGGGTCAAAAACATTGATAGTATGCAATTCAAAAGACAAAATAAAAAGAAACATTGTCAGTTGTCACCTAACATTAAAGCGATGCCGAAAATATTTGGACGAGTGATACTAAACAAAGGAAAAACGAAACAAGAGAAGCATGTTCATTTGAGTATGTGTCTTGGTTACCATAAGATAACGTAATGATGAGTCAAAAATCAAACATAAACATAATAAACAAGTGTAAAAAGCGGTAAATAAGCAATTAATTCCTATTGGTAATAGGAACACTGAGGCCCAATCAAAAACAGCAATATGTGAAATATTCATAACTGCCGCGTTGACGTGTAACAAGATAAACGATTGTTGGATCCCCAAGGCTGTCATAAAGGTATGAAGTAGTATCTGAATAAATCTCACCATTTGACTTAGCAGCTGAAATGAAACTAATTTGAGTACACGAGGCAGTCTGTTAAGTGAATGTATGCATTCTGTATACATGGAGACAGCACATGCGAGCTATGTAGCTCCACATTTTGTTTGTCGATCTTCGTTAGTCGGGTTATTAGGCTATTTGACCTATTTCGATAGCTTGGGGAAGTAAGAGGTTCATTTTTAGAGACATTGAGGAAGTGGACATTGCCATTCATCTGAGTATGGAGCACCAGACAGTGACCACTCAATAAGAACGGCAGAAATGTAACCCGATTACATTAGATCTTAGTTCATTTTTGTGATGTTTTCGGAGGGCGCTAGTCCTAAACAGGGAAAAAACAGGACATATTTACATGCAAGCAGTCATAGAAAATTCGTATGTTAATGTTGTATTACATACTTCCCTATTGGCTCCATTAAATACAATGATGCTGATGAAATATAGACCTGTAGGGTAATAAGACATCGCTAAGTAATAACCAAATCGTGGAAACATTTTCATAGTCAGAGGGCTGATCACTACACAATGGGATACTGTCAAGGTCAAGAGGGGTCAGTTCGAGGAAATCTCACAGTTCCAGTGATAAGCCATGACCAATAAAGCCAAACCGTGTCAAGGTGAGGAAGGTGGCTGCTGAAGACAATGGAAGGTATTCATGCAATATCTTGAGCTGATTGATGTTAATTTCACCCACTAATGAATCTACCTTGGTTTCTGGAGGTTAATCGTCCGTTCATGTGACTGTATTAGGTTCGATTTCTTATAGCAAGGCGGTATAGGAATGTTCCTGAGGAGTCCTATATTGGGGTAAAGCAGCTGCCCTGTGCTTCCAGGTTACCAGTGGTTGCCTGAGTTAGACCGGTCTATGATTCTAATGGAATAAAATAAGTTCAGTACAAGAGTGTTTTGAAAACATAGATTTTTGTACATTTATTAAGGAAGAAACACTATGAAGGATCCAGACAGGGGAAGTACCCGCAACCTACTGACAATATTTGAGCATAGGTAATCTTATGTATGAAAATAAACCACGCGTAAAACGCGAAAAAGGAAAAAAGATGCATACAAAACACACGTCTCTTTATGGAAATCTCAGGATGGTTTAGTGGGGTACAAACAGTACGTGAAAACATTTCTGGACAGGACACACTTAGGCTAGTGGTTGGATAATATGGAAGCATACAGAGTAACCATGCGTTCATGAAAGAGTCGTGTAGTCTTTATTACGTCGAGGTTTACTGACCTTATCCAAGTTTTTAACGGTTAATGTAATTCGTCTTAGTTGCTGTATATTCAGCTATAAGAATCGTGTGGTTAGGCACACGTTTGATTTTATGTGGTGTTTATATGAACCAATGATTTCCTTGTGTTGACGACTGTTTTGATTTTGAATTCCAAATACTGTTCATTTGTTCGTGGTCATCTAATACTTCTTGATTAGATTGCGTTGTTTCTGGGATTACCAATTTATAATAGAATTCGAATACTTCAAATAATTACATTGGCGTCTTGATGGAGCCTGTGATGGAACGGTTGGATATACTTTCAGATTTTGATGCTTTTGAGAATTACATGGAGAGGCTATGACCAAGGAAGGTATTGAGGATTTTAATATTATCTCTCATTTGCTTTCGTTCATCGGAAAAGAAGCATACAGTTTACTACAGACTTTGGCATTTCCAGACAAACCGATTTCACTCCCTTATGCAACTCTCAAGCAACAATTACTGGACCATGTAAAGTATACAAACTCCTAGTGTGGTGAAGGAGAAAAATTCAATGGAATGATTCGACAGGAAATCAGGAATTTCACTGCTTTTCTACGTCGTCCCAGTCTAATACGTAATCAAGGTTATTCAGATAACAACACATTGAGTTGTGAAATAGTTCACGAAGATGAGCACAAGTTTGGTAAATGCTTGTTCTATGACAAGTTTAACCCCTGTAATTCATATGTATTTCGTAATTCCGAATGCTCTAAATGTGGTCAATCTGGACACATTCAGTCAGTTTGTAATACCATAGTTCATTTCGCTAATGCCAGAATTTGCGATTGTGATCATATTAAGTTGGATGTTCCCAATTATCACTTACCTTTATCCAAGACCTCTAGAAGCGGTATAACGTCACACAACAGTCCAGAGTTAAATGAAACCCAGAATCATTATGAGACAAAAGATTTTAATCAACCAAATTCTTATCATATTTCTGGTGTTTTTGTGCCAGATATGGTTTGTCGTAATAATTTGCATATTTCTGATGCAATTTCTTACAACTCTGAGAATAAATGAGTCAAATCATGATCACAATCCGGATTCAGTCTTGATAGATGCTGAGTTTTCTAATGTTCCATTATTATTTGATAAAACTCTCAATAAATTTGAGGGAAATATTTCAGAAAAATCAAATCCTGCTGTCATATCATGTATTATTTATTCTCATAATGCATTTGCTTCTTGTGAGATACTTATCGAATGCGAAGCACGAATACTAAGTGAGCTTGATTTTCATCACAATTCGGATAACTTCATATCATATTATACTTATCATGAAGTCACTTCTAATGAATACTCTAGTCAATATGTGAAATATGTTTTGAATGAAGCCATATTATTCATAACTTAGGGATATGAAGATCCAACATTATTTCGTGGGGGAGGGTAGTGTTGGAAAATCTATGGTTCAAATTTTAGATATTAGTGGTTTCACTACACAACCGACACGGTGATTGTATACAATTCCAGGACCCAGGCGAGTCCGTTCTAGTTTCGATTGTTAATTCTAATACTAACGAGTGCATTCTAGATAATACAGAGTCTATATCCAATACACTGTCAAACAGACGTAAGATGAACTTAAGTAGAAAACGTACAATCGATTACATACACTTACACTCCAATTTGAGCAGTGGTGGATGAAGTGTTTATATGAACCAATGATTTCTTTGTGTTGATGACTGTTTTGATTTTGAGTTCCAAATACTGTTCATTTGTTCGTGGTCATCTAATACTTCTTGATTAGATTGCGTTGTTTCTGGGATTGCCAATTTATAACACAATTCAAATACTTCAAATTATTAAATGCTACTATCATTACAATCCCCTACATCATGTCAAAGTCACATCACGTGATCAACACTTGACCCAACTTATCCCATATCTTCCAATGTAGCGCTTCTACGATTACTGTCGGTCCCAAGATAGGGCAAAGAAGGAGGATTGGGTACAGGGTCAGCAATCCCATTCCACAGAAAACAATCTTGCTAAACAAGCGACAACCAGAATGAACAATTTAAACCATATGAACTCTGCCCTCCCAGTTGAGAGAAGAGTTGTGACGCCTCGTGATGAAAGCTCAGATTTTTAAGAGGTCACGAGGGTGACGCTTTTTCTAACTACCACAGCAACAATCAATATAGGTTCATGGAATGTCAAGAAAATGTAGCTCACCTGGAGGACCAGTCAAATACCTGATAAAATGAGGTGATATAACTTGGCAGTACTCGGAATGAGTAAAAGCCATTGGACCTAAACTGGACAGGAAACGATAGATTCGGGAGAGATGGTAATGTATTCCGATGATAGAGAGAAAAATGCTCCTCATGCTAAGGGAGTCACTCTGATGCTGGGATAGGAATCCCAAGGGCCCAGGATCATCAAAACATCAATCAAA